TTTCACAAAGTTTACTATAGTACATACATGAATTAGTAAAAGTGTTGAGCTTCCTTATTAAGCAGACACCTTACAATACGATAGCAGCATCAAATATGCATTAAAAAAAACAGCAGAAAACCGCAGAAAATCGCTATCACTCCTGAACGTACGTTTAAAACTAAAGGTTATCAACAGTACTCCGTTACGATGGCATCCTTTTCAGCTGAAACTCTGTCGTTACGTATTTCCAACAAGACGACAGCGTAGCAACTAATTAATCATTTCTTTCGACACCTACGTAAACAAACATTTATACCTATAAATACCTTCCGCCCGGTTGAACATGGCAAGTACTTGCTTTATGCTTGCATCATTTTGCCTCCGCAGTGCGGTACTATGAACTGATACCAATTCAGGTGCAGTGTTTGCTACTGTTGCTGTTGTTTGTCAGTTCTACTCGGGAACAATAACGGGGTTGAGAACCCTTTGTTTTGTCGGACCGGACAGTTTGCCATCATGACGTTCTACAGTTACGAATATCCCGATCAGTGACTAGGTTTGTGCCGTCTGTGACAGTCAGTGTCCGTATGCGCGCATCTGCATATCCCTGCCAGTGTCTACTTGCGTCCGTACAAACAGGCCTGTTTTTGACGTGTCTTGCGTCAAAACGAGCGTGTCGCGCTCATTACGTTGCCCACTCGTCGGAGATGAGAGGAGCCGCATCAATAGTAGCAATGCCATTTAGGCGTCGCACTGTTGCGGCCTGATTTCGCTGACTGTGAGAGCACTACAAGAAAACGAAACGAGATCAGCGAGGAAGAAGAACGCCGGTCGGTCGACTCGGCTTGAATATCGCCGACACGATTGATGTCACGTTCATTGGACATCAGTCAGCGATCCCGACGTCGATCACGAATTCTGATTACCATACACAATGCATGGGTCATCAGCGAGCTGCTAGCAGCACCCATGTTGATCTCCGACCATACACTGCTCTTACCTAAGCAAACCGCGTCGCCGACTTGTGCGCCAGCCCTCGTCGTCAGCACGTCTTCCCTAATCTTGCCGTCTGACCCATCAGCCGCGAGTCTGTCATCACTAGCTAGTTAGGCATCGCCTTTACCGTAGCTATAGCATAAGCTACATCAAGTATATATATATATACGCCAATTATTGTATATTTGTACACTGATACATACTTTTTGTCTTCCCAGTTACCTATTTCGCGAGATTACTTGCTGTTTCCCAGCCATTTGTTGGCTAGAAGTGTCACGTCTACTGCAGGCTTATCTGTAGTTGATATTTAATACAGTAATCGATGTGTAGTACAGGCGAAAATTTACCGAAAACCAAGTTTTAAACTGTTGAACATGGCACGTTTACGTAAACGGTAACTAGAACGAGGTGCTGGAGGCACTAACCGGTCTGGAAATGATTAGACATATAAACATCCATGTTTGTCATTTTTGTGAACATATATAAAACACTGTCTATAAACTCTACACGTTTTTGAAAAATGTTAATAAAAGGCGTGAATACAGGTGGAACAGTAGAAATTAGCTCGTTCTGTGCGGCAGCAAACTTTTCCTCTATCGCAAGGCGTTTCAAAGGAGAATGAAAAGGTTCGCCGAATATTTTAGCCTCAACTCCCTGTATCAAAATCGCATCATCCATAAAATCATGCAAGGTGGCGTTGTGCCTGAAGTGAACCACAATGAAGTAATAGTTACGAGCCTCTCATATATATATATATTCTACACTGCCAAAAATCTTAGGAAGGGAGCTTGCTTAAAGCAAAACACGTGTAGAGTGCACCCATTGGATCAATTTGTTTGGAATTGTCTCAAGCGCGCAAATATCTGTGCGAAACATAGTACGAATGAATATTTTTTTCCCTAAAGAGTAAAATTTGCTTTTACATTTAAGGCGTAATGTTAATTAGAACAAATGGGCCCTTTTTGACGAGTAGCTCAATAATCACCGAAAATTTAGGAGACGTAATTAATCCAAATAGTTATCGTAGCTGATGATAGAAGAACGATCTCAGTTCATTTTCTAGGTGCAGGAACACTTGTTCAGATGAAGTTTTTTTTTCCCCTAGAAGAAGGCATATTGTAGCTCTCGTTGATCTGCGAAATGGTTAATAACTAGTTCGAACTATATGGTTTAAATTGAACTAATACCGAAAGATCATAGATTATGAAACTAATTGACATGGAAAAATAGCATAAATGTAGCACGATATTGAGGTGATAGCACTGATCTAATTGGAGAACGAGAATATCTGTAAAAAGGGCACTGGGGCTGAGGTCAGTTAAGGTGGTGGACTGAAGCCACGTGTACGGCTTAACTAATTTTATCTAATGAACTCATTACACAAAGGAAATACAATCACTCTGTTAGTTCTGTTCGAGTAGAATATGACAGGGAAACTGCAATCAGGTGTTTATGTAGATTGAGGTCTGGGATAGGCCACAGCGAATCAAATATTAGGACGGCTTTATGGGCTAGCTGAAGGGCGGTAGCAGGACTGTTGGTGGTGACTGATAAGTGTTGCCATTAGACTGATTAAATCCTGCTAGACTGATAGAACTAGTGTAACATTATGCAATAGAATTACTGAATCAGTATTGTAGGATTTCGAATTGGAATAATCATAAAGATTTAGGTTTACAATCGAAATACAGCGTATGTTTAGCAAAGTGTAACATAAATTAAATTTCCTTCGCTGGTGGTATCTATACGATGATGAAATTCGCTCGAACTCACTCTTAGGTTTTTTGTTTGGAATACATATAGTATGCCTATGGAAAATTAGAAAGTCTTCCTGGCAAAATGGCGGTCGAATGAGGTTTATGTAGCAAGGATATTTCTTGCTGTCAACCGATAGGTCTCTACAAGCTGAGTAGAATGCAACGTATATTCCTATATCTGCTATGAATACGGTGAAGTAAAGATGGCGAAGAACCAAACGTAATGTGTATTTTCTTCATGTGACAATGAGACCAAAATCTATCCCAAACGGATTTCAAACGGTTTTTCAAGTGAATAAAAGTAGGAATAGCGTATATTTTAACGGTAATGGATTTTTTCTCTAATAGATTTGAGAGACAAACAGGGATATATTAAAAACATATTTTTCTGCAAAGCATTAGTCTTCTGAGGCCAATCGACAAAACTCGATAAGTTAAGACATTCTCTTCAACTAAAAACGTTTTTTTGGCATGACAAAGGCAAAAACAACTTTATGCAGTATTAACTGTTCTGCTTATGTGACACTTGGATTATTGTATTTTGCATGGAAATTTATGTGGGCAGGTATCATAATAACAATCGAAAGTTTTCGATGAACTGAATTGAATACAACCTTTGTTGTTGTACGTAAATTTTGGTTTCCAAATTGAATATGCCGTTGGGAGGGTGGAAACCTAACATGATATTCTATGCGGGAAAGATATTGTTTACCGAAAATCCGAATGGTCATAGCAAAGTGAATCGAATCAATCAAGCAGCGTAAGGAGCGGGGGGGGGGGGGGGGCGAGGCGAAGCCCACGGGTCCGTCCTGTCCTGAACTGAAGCCTTCTCTCTGTCTGTTGGTTTACTGGACTGAAAGTGACCCCTTAAGCGGGTCAATCGACTCCTAGTTAGCCGTTAGAGTTTCAGAGGGAAAAGACCACGCGCAAGATCGTCTCGTTTAGCCAAATTCGCTTGCCCCTTGAGAAACAGTTTTGTTTTTCCCATAACGTGTAATGTTAACTTGTTTGCTACTAAGCCGATGCTAAAACTTCTGTCTCATTTTTCACGTTTGTAAAGAACCACCGTCACAACGCTGGTCACATGCACCCTAACTAGCCACCGGGATTGCTCGCGCCAACATATCACCAGTGTGAAAATTGTATTTCGTCGCCAAATACTGTCAACTTATGTTGTATAACACACTATACAAACAAACTACACTGTAGCAAAAAACTATTAGGTTATTAATAGGTTTATTTTACCTCTACACAAATATAATAAGATTAATTTAACAACGAAATAAGCGCGGACCGAGGCCTATTGGATGTATTTGTTCGCGGTGGTTTCAATTTTGTGTGTGTTTTAGAGCGCGTCTTTGCGTGGGTTCAGTCACTTAAAGCGACCAGTTCTACGCAGGCCATTAGCACGTTTCATTTCGCGTTAGGTACCAGTGTCCTGAAGCGACGTTCACCGACAGGGCCTGATGTGAAAGCTCAGAATTTTTAGTCTAATGGTTTCTGTTTTTAATCGAAACAATAATATGACTTTTTAATATAAACCAAATCGTTAAATAAGAAGTGCACAGTCTGGTTTAAGAGTTGATCGTTTTCTTATTCAGGTTTTGTTTATGTTCTGTGTTTTTGATACCTAGTGGCAACGAGATGGACATAGAAAAGCGCCGCTTAAGACACTCCGTTCTGTTCGTGTTCCAAATGCAAATTATTGCTTCTCCGGCAACTCTGTATATATATTACAACTATCAAAAATATTTTATTGAATTACATGAAGCATGTTTCCCTCTGAATGATGACTGACAACCTGGACGTTCTAGGATATTTGACAATGAAAAAATGCGGTGAAAAAATTTAACAGAAACCCTAATCCACTGAGAATGGGTCGACAAGCGGACACAAATTGTTTGTATTCTATGGCAAAGATAGAAAAGCAAACAGGCAGCAAACCTACCTTATCAAGTCCTTTTAAAAAACTCTTTCTTATACCCTGTTTTCACTGGAGATAAAAGCGCTGTTTCTACTTGAATTACAAACACAAAACATCGTGTGATAACGTTAAACGACCTGGTCGTTCAAGATATTCAAGGAGTGGAAACACTGCCTCGTATGTTCGATGGACTGTGCAGGACATATTCTATTCTGAACGCTTCATACCCGGTGAAATAGTTATTATAGAATGTTATGGATATTAATAAGTGTGAGTAGCTTAATTAATATGAAAAAGCCCTTTGTTTTTCCGTTGAACCGAATCAAAAAATGATTTGGTTGAATCATAATGTCCCACATTGCCCTAACGGCTCGCGGAAATATTTCTCGATCGGGCTGGAAAGCCCCCCCTCAAAAGACTTATTTGTCAATTTTGGCTAATTTAGGTCGATGTATAATTTATAAACTATTTCAATCTGACAAAGTTGGATTTTACTGTAAGAAATTCGCAAGCTGTCTGGTAGATGATTGAAAACCATACGTTCTATTAGCAGCTATTTCGATGATTGACGTCTCGACCCTATTTTAGAAGATAAAGTTGAACGTTGCCAAAGAAGCTGATAATTCAGTGATACATTTAATCATAAAAACGAAGCCTCGCTCATTAATTAACTGACGAATCTCATAAATCAGAACTTTAATTTCAGTATTCCTACATCATACGGATCCCAATAAATTATACTGAAAGAAACATCATCGTAGTGTGCAACAGACTTTCTAATATTGTAGAATTTCGCTTAACCTAACATGCAGTCAAAAAAAAAAAAGTCAAAAAATACCACACATAGCAGTCTCGATCTAACATTAAACAGATAAGCAGTAGTTTACCATTTCCCCGCAACCAACGGTACATTTTAACCGACACATTTTAAAATATCTTATGAGTATCAAGCAACGATAAGACAATAAGGGGTGCCAAATCACGTCTCCTTATATTTTCACAATGTGACGATGCGCTTGCCATTCACTAGTTCTTCTTTTTCTCCAACTTCGTTTACCTCTGTTTAGGTAGTATTTTTAGTTTGTTCAGGTAGTAGGTATATTTAGCTAAGTTCTGGATAGTATTTTACGCCCGGTTATGATCGGCCGGGCATGCGACTGCAGAGAGTTGACCTTGTTCCTTGGACTGCACAGCTCGGCGCTGAGAACTTGGATTGCGGTAGAGTTTGTTTTAGAGTATTCGATCTGGGGTTGACGTTGTTTTTGCAAGTAGTCATACGTGCTGAATATAAGGATATCCAGCGTCTAACCGTGAAAGCAAGCAAAAAAAAAAAAGAAAACGAACATAGAATGTAGTAAGTTTAATAAGTCCTATCTTAAAATACACGAAAAGATCAATTTTCAATTTCTATTTCATCTTCAACAAAAGTGTTATGTGTAAATGTTAACAGATCAGTCTGTTGCAATAGTGGGAAAGTAAAATTCGCCAGGATCTTTAAAACCATTGTTGTAAATAGTCATTCATGACGATCCAGCTGGTATTAGTAAGCATTGCTGTACTCAGACTTCAATGTGGAAAGCATAAAACTAGAAAGCTCATTCTGTCGCACGCATTTCCCATAGATGTATCATGATATCTGAAAAACCTCCGACCCTGCCTCCGTTTCATGAGGATCGACGTACCTCGCAGGATTTGGCTTAAAGGGTGCATTATCCGTAAGTCTAACAACCATATCGTATATATCAAATGTCTATTCACATATGTGAATAAACATATAATGTTTTCGATATAGTTATTGCACACATAATGCGCGGAAGGCAAAATACAACCATAACCATAGGGGTAAAATATCGAAACAATTTTGCATGGCGTCAAATGAAACATAAAGTTCACTCTCTCTCCGCACTGTCGCTAACGTCGCTCATCCGGCAGATAATGTGATGAAATCCGCTAACCATGTTTTGAGTTAAGAATATCAGTTGGTTTCACTGATGTCCTTCCAAGTGACATAACTCATTGGCCCAACCTAAAAAAAAGTCTGGTGTTTGAAAAGTTCTATCTTCATTTCCCAATAAGATTGAAATAGAACAGGCAGCCTGGTTACTATTAATTATATCTTGTTTATCATCATGTTATAGTTGCAGTTGGCCAACTAGGGACTCCATCACTTACAGCAAGTTGAAAAGTCCATCGTCGTTTCCCAATAGGATTGATACCATCTTTGCATAAGGCTGAGTACAAGCACTATCTGCGTTACCATCACGATTAAGGGTCGATATAACTCCTTTTCGAGCAATAGGCGCTCATGTACTGACAGTGTGCTTCTGTTCCTTTCAAGTCAAACCGATTAATGGCGTGTTACAGAGCAGGCAGATTAGTCTGTTTATGGTTAAAATATGAAGACCCAGGACATGCTTGAAGAAGTCTAGTTTTACTCGATTAAGTCAAACTCGTGCGAAGTTGATCGGCAGGAAGGTAATTTCGTCCTAGATCTAATACTTACGACAAAACAGGGGCTACTCTCATATCGAAGAGGACTAATGTTGTTTTAGATGAAAGTCTGTTCGGATTATTAATCATTATGTCTACCAGCAGAGCCTTCTACGTACCCTGAGAGATGGGCTTGCTGGAAGAACGTTCGCTAGACGTTAGCGTAATTTCTAAATGAATGAAAGAATTCAAATGCTGAATTTAGTTTTTGCCACCTCGTTCAAACGGCAAACGAGTGTTCTCTGCATAAATTCCTTCCTTGCCTCGGTCTTTCGTAAATTAATATCCAGCCGCAGATTAGTAACATAGCACTTGAAGGTAGCCAAGGCTCGTTGGATATGATATCGGTTAGTGGCATACAGAGCAAAGTCGTCCGCATATAGGAGAAGATTCACTAGCGCGTGGCGCTTCTGGATTTGATTGCACAGGTCGATAATTATCACACGGACTAGAAGGCGACTGAAATTATCACTCTGGGCAACGCATGTGGGGTGCTCGAAAAACTTAAGTTCTGCTACACCGTCATCGATGATTACTTCATTCATTTGCAACACGCTCCTGTTAGAGTACAGCGTATTTTGAAGCTCTTCCACTCGAGCTAGCCTAAAAAATATAAACGATGGACTTCCGTGCGTCTCTACGTATTAATTAATACTATCTGAAGATATACTGAAAGCAGGGCGTGCGAAAAAGGTAAAGCGGTACCGCTCGAAAGACGATCCTACTTGCCTGATAAATGACGAAAAACGATATTCCCATGTACATTCCATTAATGGCGCCGATCGTGCCCAGAACGCGCACCGACGTATATTTGGGCATTGCTCGAACATGCTCATAGGTGAACGAATGGAAATGGACAACGAGTCGGGCTGAAATTGTAAAGTGTAACTAACTCAATAGAAGAAAACAACTACAATCGGACCTTTCGTCTCTCTAAAAAATCGCTAAGAATGTTTTCAAAGTACGATATGTACAAAGAGTGGAGGTCATTTGAGAATCTACAAAAATTCTCCATTAATTTTTACGTCTGTAGGGAGGTCATATACGCATATAGGTGGAAACTAGGAACCGGCAGAAGCCCCTAAATAATCGCTGCTCAACGTCACTCTTCACGACTCACCAAATTGCTTTTCTTACCGATATATATTCATATATATACTTAACCAAACCACATACCTCTTGCAAAATCATTCAGTAGTATAAAACTACATATATAAATAAACTAAATAAAAAAATTAAATTAGAAAATTATTAACTAAGGCTGATACAAGCTTTTTACTTCACAGTCTTTTATCAGATTGAATGTAATTGTATTCTTCAACATAACTAAGTCAACTATATATATATATATATATATATATATATATATCTCGAACTTGATGATCAGCGTCGATCCTGCTCATAAAAAATACGCAGTTTAGCCATGTTTTTCACTCTTTTGTCACTTGCTTGCATAGCATCTGATTCAGTTCAGGCTGGGTAAAAAGGTTTCCGTTGGAGCCGACATGTGACGTCCACATCGGATTGGTTCCAAGAGGAACTAGAATTCCCAAAAATGATAATTTGACTGCAAGCCATGGGTCACGTTATTTTCATAAGGTTGTTGTCATTAGAAGCAGTAATTAAAAAGGGCCTTGGACTAGCAAAGAGTGACGCAAAGTGATACTGCTGCACGACAAGGCTACACCGCACACTGCTCTGGCGAGCGCTAATAGATTCACAGCAGGCAACCCTGTTCCAGCCTAAATATAGCCCAGGCAGCTACTACTTGTTTCGGTTAATGCATCGTGGCCAAGAAAGCAAACACTTCAGGACAGAGGCCAAAGTCCGAAAACGGGCCGCTTTTAAAGTGGAAAAATTTTTCCATCTTAGGATACATCAGCCAGCAAAAAATGGACGAGAGCCGTAACAAGTAAAGAACGCTACTTTGACTACGGCGTGTTCAGTAGGTTTAAAACTATTATAAAGTGGCTAAAAAAACAATGGGAATTTTTCACCCAAGTTGCTAATTCGTTCAACGCACTGATTCATTAAGAATATTGGGTTTGCAGAAAATATCAATATATATTGTATTATACCTTGTGCCATTCGGTGTTCGAGACCGCCTTCTTTATACTCAACAGAAGTTGCATTTGGAATGAAATTAGCAATTGACACATCCGTCCGATAGAATTTTAGGACGCACTCTTGTAGACAGCCGCACCTTTCCTGAAAGACCGTAACAGGCAGGCAGACGTAACTGTATGAAATGTGAACATGGAGAATTCACGCAACATGTTAACTACGTACTTAATAAGCTTTTAAAAATAGCTAAACCAGGATGTTTATATTGTTTGCCACCGAAGCCGATTTAGTGTTTAGTCTAAAGAAGGTATTCGAGAATGTACCATTTCTAACTAACAAGTCCGCAAGCGAATATTACCTCGAGCTTGTAACGAGAGTATTGCGCTTTAATTTTTTTGTAGCATTTCAATTTTGAGCCAGAGCAGTATTTGAAGTCTTCCACTTTCCGGCTGTTGATCTTGACCGAAACGTCACTAGGAATACAGGCACACTTGTCAATCATCAACGACACTAAACAGTAGTTAAGGCAGTCCTCCCTAGAAAATCGGAAGGAGATTATCTGAATGAACTTCTAAATTATTTTAAAGTTTGAGTTTGGTGCCACAAAACACACGAACACACAAATTAACTTATTGAGCTCAGCTCAAAAAGCGAACCATGATCCTTCATATGTTCTTCACTAAAAAGGGTTTTTGAGTGTATGCTTCGTGACAAAAATGGGCTTACGACTGGGTAAAACGAAAGTGTATAATTTTTAACCCAAAATTCGGCTAAAATGAATAAAGTAAAAATCATTGTCATCAATTAAAATATATTCATAGCTTCGTAAGTCACCTGCTTGGTTCTCACCGCATGTACGACGTGCGCTCCACACCTTCCTCGACAACAGAATTCTCCGACATGAACATTTCGGGCCATTCGCGAATACACGGGTTTTCATAGGGCTTCTCCAAACTGGTGCTCTGTGACATCTCGAGGCCTATGTATGTACTATAGCCAGGCGGAACGAATATCGCATCGGACCCCAGCGAGTACTTTTTACCGTGTTCGTGGATCATAGCAACAAAGCCCACTTCTCGTGAATGATTAAAGTACTCCTGTTTACCCCAAAATACGGCAACCTTATTTATTGTGAATATCTCTGTGTACAGATCGTCGTATACATTTAAGGCTGCATGTGTTCATTAGGAAGCAAGCCATAATAAAACATCAACTAAATGGCCCGAACAATGCAAAATTAATAAGATAAGGTCCTGAGCTATTTTCTAATGCTGTACTCTAAACACGTGGCTTTTTCATTGGACTACAGATAGCGCTAACTTTTGAAAAAACAGTCCACACATTCCTACCATAACTTTTGATCATAAAGTAAATCATGTAAAACTTTTGCAAAAGTTAAACAGAGAACTAGCTTGTCAACTAACTTCCAGTTCTGTATTGAGAGTGAGGACAAGTCCACTGAGGGGCGAAGATAACGTCCCATAGATATAGTAGTCAGGATGTTGAGTTTCTATGCAATGAAAGCAGAAACATGGCCCGTAAATGTCATTGATGTCCAGGCTGAAAAAGTCCTCAGGTGAGCCCTCACCACACTCGGTGTTCGTCGCATAGCTAGAAAGAATATTTTAGAAAAGGTTTCAGGAGTGATTTCAATTCTAACCAGTCAGAAATAGCCTCAGAATGAGCAAGTACAAATAGCTTAATCTACAATTGTGCATCAAGCAGCCATCGTCTAAGCGTATATCGTCGGTTTGGATTTTATGAAAAATTAGCACGATTCAAATGAAAAAGATAATATCGACCTGCACTTATCAATTGTATCCTTGAGAGAGTGACCCATGTCGTATAACAAGTTTTGCGTAAAGTTTCCAAGGGCACTCATTTTCTTAATCCACTGGGTCAAATAACCCATCGAGCGGGTCATGCTAGACGGAACCGTTTCAGAATAACCACAGAGGTATTCGCATCTGCAAAAAAATTGTTAGCAGCTTTAGACTTTACGGTGCCGATTATCAGAAGTTTTGAACTTTACATATGCATCTTGAAAACTCCATATGTGCAATGAAGCCTAGGCATTTACACAAAACTAGCCTCTATGAAGCTTTAGTTTCGACCGAACTATTTCCCGGCTGACTTTAGCTTCACATAGTAAAGCACAGGCTTTTTAAGGACGTTCAAACGCTACTTATTTAAAACAATGTACCGAAGAACGAGACACCAAAAAAACAGAAAAGTTCTCAGCCGTTCAACGTGCTATATATATCGTTGCTAAATACACGTAGCAAGCTGATCGATTAACAATCGCTTTATGATTGTAGTAGTCACAGCCTCGGAACGTCATGAAGAATTTTTTTCTAACGTACACAACATCAAAGCCTATTGAAAGACTAACAGATAGTTTTCTCCGCTCAAAAGATCTGCGAGTTCTGGTGAGATATTCATCCGAACTACTCACAGTATTTTAGTCCTTTGATTCTGCTCGCAAAATGGGCTCCATTTAGTTGATGATTTCTCATCGCCATCTCCGGCAGTTTGTTCGGGTGCTGGTGTGACGGCGTCCACTTGACTCCATGCTGGACCAGATCTGTCACAGAAACGATTTCGCACAAACTGATTTACGTTGCATATTGTCACGTCAGGAAAAGTCAGCGTATTATTGGTTTGATACTCATACGTGTAAATTACCTGAAATCACACCAAAGACACCTATTTATGATGATCATTACCACAGATGGGATCTGGACACAATGTGTTTAATATTTAACTTATGCTTGAGTGTCAGTTCGCTTACAAACACTGCCTGTTTGTCTTAGCTTGCTTAGATAACTGCATAGCAAAGCTTGCAAGAGTGATTGCCCCGGATGTATAAGATCGGCTCTAATGAACAGCATTATCTCATTCAATGGCATCAGGACTGCTATGTGAAATAATTTGTTTAAATGTCGACAGGCTGTGACTTTTTATAGTAATTAAATTAGAAGAAATTAGCTAAGGTTTGACTGGCCTAAATATCTAACTTGCTGTTTTTAGAATCTCCCATAGGATTGGGTAGTTTTCTAAACAACCTGTATACATTCTTATAGTTCACCCAATAACGGATGTTTGATTAATGTGTAGTTCAGTAACCGTTTTACGCTATGGTCTTGTGGTCAAATATAAAAGAACATTCTTTATATTTGCACGCTATGTGTTTACGATTCCACATCTAAAAAATCAGCAAAACAAAATAAAAAAAGTCAAAAAACGATCATTATACAGGTTTTTTAAATACCAATATTCCTTGACACGGGCCTTATTAATGAAGAGTACTCACAGGATGTTTATTGTATTCATTCAGAACGCCATTAAGATCATTGAGGGTGAGGTATATTAGGGGTACACAACTGACGAACCAAATTGTCTTCCGTATTCGCTCGCTATGAGGGCTAGCAAGGACATCGGCTGCAGGAATTGTCGAGCTAAACAGAAACATTCGTAACAAAAGTTGTTCTTGTTAACTCAGAAGTCGCAAAGTTAATCATCTATCTGATGTTTATATTATTCAGCAGTATATTTATCGTTCCATTATCAGAAAGAAACGCGTTGGAATATACTTGTGATTTAAAGAAAGACCGATCAATATCAGACTGTAATTTATCTTGAACTGCATGGTTTTACGATTATTTACAACTTAAGAGTAGAATAAGACGTTCTAGTTCCATTAAATACTCATTTTTGTAACTCACATCCTCCAGCTGAAGTTCTTGTTTCTTTCTTTACGTGTGAGTTTGTCGAACGACACTATATATGACGCCTAAGTATTACAACAAGCGTGAAATTTTGTTGCGACAACATTTTTTTGCAATATTAGACTTTAGACCCATTATTTACCAAACCTGCTTACACGAAAAAATTTCTCGCGTATATGCGCCTTAGCGGTCTTGATGCTTGTTCACTTGTCCACCATAAACGTTGAAGAGACTTGAGCCAGGTCTCCCACCAGGGCGCTCGCGATACGGGAGTCGCCATCACTAGAGGGCTGATTCGACCCATATCGTATTCCTACAATTCGCGCAAACTCCTTTTGGACTTGTGAACTTTTATCTCAAACATTGATTCAACGATCAGAATTTATTATCGTGCTGGTTCCATTTCTGTTAAGTGTAAAGCTTTCCTTTGTCCCCTTTTCACTAGGTAATGTCATATTGTATGCCGTGTTTTTTGAATAACACGTACAAATTCAACGTTTCCTTTGCAATTACTAAAACTAAAAAAAAAGATGAATTAACGGAAATGTAAAAGTAGTACGAAGAAGTTCTTTTTAGGAATGTTCCGAACACAGAAACGATTATATAATAGACTTGCTATTATAGCTATCCATAATGTACGCTTGGAATGTTTCAGGCACCTACCTTACGAAAAGGGACGATTGTAGTGTGTGGCAACGGAGTGTTGAATTCGCGACTATAGCGCAGATTATTTTGGTCGACTTATTTAACTGAATGTTATGGTCCCCACTGGAGCAGGTTGCGATCAATAAGAAGCCAACACGACAGACATTTCTTCTACACGGAATCAGAATCTAACGATTTACAGTGCAGGGGAAGGCCGACCCACCGGATGTCGTAATGGTTTGAATGTGAACAACTTAGGTAGTACGTGGTTCCGGAAAACAAAACTGCATTTTCATTATTGTGACCTAGCTAAATTTTGATAACACTATGAAATTGAAGTTTGATTCGCATAAAGCCATTGAACTTGTCCAGCAACAGAAGATACCTGTCAAACTGTAATCTGTTCTTTTTTTAACTGCTGATTTAGATAATTTTAATCTCCTAAACGTATCCCGGATAGGTACTGCATGAAATTGAATATTATGTCAGTCACCATTTAATAGTCATTAACTATACAGCCATTCTTTAACTGGAGGAAAACTATTGGTTACTGATTGGTTACGTTTATATTAATCATGCAAAATATAAACGTTTAGTCTTCTGCATTAGGCACTTTCTGTGTTTCTAACAAGGTATCATTAATATAGGTACATAAACGCAATGCTTGACTGGCCCTTATAGTCTAAACATACTTGGAATGACCTTGGACCGAAAAAAAATATTTCTTCTATTTTGAACAATACATACCTCTTGATTATTCCGTTAATGCCGTCGACAGTCTAACAGCGTGTCTTGGAAACATGTTAGCGCAAGTTGGCTAAAAAAAATTGCAAATTTAAGGTTTTTCGCGCACATAGAATAAACTCTGTTGTCTTAATACAGAAGGTGAATAGAATAGTCTTTTGAGAGCTGGAAAATTTTTATTGCACATTTCCTAACATAGCAGATTATGTGCAAATTCTTACAATAGCAAACAAATTTAAAACAGAAGCACCCTAATATAATTTTTATATTTTCCATAACACTGTGTTATAAGCATACTATAGGATGAAAAATATATTACAATTTTTTTTATTTCAATCAAACATTGAATTGTACATTTACTTATACACTAATTGGCTAAGATAGTTTATGTAAACTAAGTTAACTTCAACATCTATAAGAAAGAAGGCATTAAGCATGCATCAAAATGAGTATATTCGAGGCTCTTTACAGTTGGCTGCAATTTGGTTCAGTTAGAAGCTGCCACACCGCAGAAAGCTTCGATAGAATTAGAAGCTTATCACTTACTTATCAATGTAACATGGTATTACAATGAGATATATATGACTGACTCCATATTGATAATGGTAGATATAATTAGAACTGCTTAACGACAATACCGAAATATTAAATAGGTGTGATCAGCTTATGAGTAGGTATGAAGATACCTTAATAAAGCACGTACTCTCCCAGACATGTACTAGAAATACATCAAAGTGCATACTACCTAAGAGCAGCCCTAAAAATTGTCGGTGATCATTAAATAATCAAAAGATGACTACTGTAGTGCCTATTCTGTCAAGGTGTTTTATTGAGTGAGTATTAGTGAATTCGTGTATTAGTTGACTATTTGAAGTACGTTCAACAATATGCTAGGCCTATACGGAGTTTTGCGTGCCTATGGTCCCACGCTACGACCCTTAAGTCGTCCACGGTCAAAAAAAAAAAAAAAAAACGGAGTTTTTAGCATGCAATACTTTTACTCATTGACTTGCTTTTTTTACTGGGTGGGTTATAACCCATATTGAAGAACTTCAGTCCGTTACTACTAGTACAGAACATTTAATTTCGAAGCCCACACCCACTTGGTGCATTTTTATTTCTTCGTATCGCAGGTAGTAACGACTCCAGAAACCTGTCCCTATTCGAATGCTACCAGCAATTGAACAACCTCCAAGAGTATGCGTTATATACTTCAACTGGATATTAGCAAGTTAAGCTAATTTGAATTGGGCGCCGATTTTGAAGGAAGAAAAGGCGGCGGGGCAGAGTCGTCTGCAATAGCAATTCAAATATGTAAACAACCGCGAGCTGTTGCGTGCGTTATGAGAAGATGGGAGAAGAACTACCGTCATTGAAATAGATTGTGAAGTGGACAGCTCTGAATGTCTTGCTACGTACAGAATTAAGATCTTGCGACGATGTTGTCTTCATTGTGTCGAGTAACGCTAAACAAACAATTGGAGCAGCGTACAAAGGATACAACTAATGAGATCAGGTGAGATTTGACCACTCAACTCGAATAGCATCGCTGAAACAGCAACCGACTGACAGTTTATTTGGCTCAACTGATCGGTTGTTAAAACTTGTTTCAAGAATTGAAACGTGCTCCCTCTGCTAATCTCTCGTCTTTTATTATTTTAGCCGTTCCGTGAACAATCCGCTTCTTGTTAGGGTAAGCGTTCCGAAAAATGGTTCGTCTGCAGTCCGATTAGCCTGTAGAAAGCTTACCATAAATTTCACTAAGAATTTTACTCTTTGGTACGCACTTAAAAAAAAGCTATTTTTATGAACGCCCATTAAGTTGTCATTGATTATGCAAATATGTTTTAAACACTGTAATTAATACTTGGCATTGGTCTTGCAAAGCGAGTCACATTTCATTGTTTTTCCTTTATTTTTTTTATTAAATGTATTCCCGCTGTTCGGCAACTGTGTTTTTCGATGGTTTAAATAGTGTTGAGCTGAACAATGTCGGCAAATAAAGATTTACGAATCCTCTCTCAGTTTATATTACTCCTTCTTTTTCTTATCGGAATAAAGATGTCTTGAATAATACTGAACTTATTTTCGAATTTTCAGTTCCTAAGAGTTTTAGCATACACCATAACTTTGGACCATGCATCACTTGAAATTATATGGCTGTTATTGAGTTGGTCGTTGAGTACAATATGGTACATTAAGGCTCGTTTTAAAGCGTTTCATAATTTCCAATGGTCTGGCTGCAGTATTTCTAGTAATAATAATTACTATTATCTATTTAATCATCAGAATTGTAACCACAAAGCCGCACTGATTTGTGAACTTACAGTTTTAAGAACTTACAACTTTATTTAAAAAAGTTTATTGGATTAATCTAAGCTGAGTCAATCTATGTAATGGAGCTACAGGTACTTCGGCAATTTTTCAAAATGGCTTGCTGATGGTATCACCAGTACGTTTTCAGATAAAAAGTTGCATTGCTCATCATAGTTTAATGAGTTGGTTCTGCTCGTATCTTGTTTATTTTTGATATATAACGTCACTTTTCGGCTTAATAACTACCCGCTTTTTATGCATGCCATTATGGCAAAAATAATTTGAGATATTTAGCGATGACAGCTTAGTAGATAAATAATATGCAACGGTCTCTTATCGTGTTCTTTTTTCTTTCTATTTTTCTTTTCTATTACAACGAACTGATTAAGCAGTTATGTTATTACCGATCAATTTGCTTCTAAGCAATTTTTTGTTATAACATCATGCGCCTCTATTTCTGCAATGTATGTCAAGGTGCACACTGTTAACAGTCGTATCTTACAGAATCTTTTAGACATCAAAGAACATAGAACGAGAGCGTAAAATAAGTTAGCATACGCTTTTCACTATTCACGCTACGCTTTTTACGCTTGTCAATAATCAAACCAAACGCATTTACTAATGCTAATCGATTCCATTAGATCGACGGATCTTGTGACTTTCGCACGTCTCGAGGCTGCAGTCAAGGCTAGCGACTCCGTTACCTTACGAAAAATCGTCGGTGCTGGACGTAGCGTCGAATACTTGACCGCTGAAGGGAGCCTGTTGTACCACGCTGTGAAATGTCGTGCGCCATTATGGGTGAGTTAGGATTACAACAGTACACACATGTGCATATAGATATTTCTTTGCGAAATGGTTGATTAATTTTGAAAACGTGATGCTTGTTGAATTTTTTCGGTTTTGATTGGATTTATTGAAATCGATTTCTTAGACATGTATATTGTGGGCGTCACACGCCTTGTCGAGACGTGATTTACTTTTCTATTACTTTTTTACAGCACGTAGGAGGCCTGATTGTATCTTCCATGAATTAGATGCTTACGGTTAGCTTTAGATAACCCAAAATTATTTCAGGGAAAACAAATACGTTAAGAGGCGTATATGTTTTTCATGTCGTCAACTCTGGTACGCCTTTAATGATAATTTGAGTATTGTTTGTAGCAAATTAAGTATCTTTGCAGAGCTTGAAGCCGTTTTTGCTGATGGTTTTATGGAACAACTGCATCTGACCTTATTAACGAATAATAGTATTTTCTGACCTACCGTTTTTTTTCTTTTTAAAAGTTTATCGAAGAACTTCTTCAGTTAGAGGCAAATCCGAATTACTTTTCGTATCAAGATCATCAGACGGCGCTGCACCTGGCCGCACGAGAAGGATATGTAGCAGCACTGGAAGTGCTGCTTGACTATGGCGGGAGCCCGATGGAAGTAGACGTTGCCGGTCAAACCGTTTTCGAAGCTGCTCAAGCTTCCAATCATAAGAACTGCATTGAGGTTAGTTTCGTATCATCTGCTTTTCATGCTATCGATGGGCTAAAAGCAAACGGAGCAAAACACGAGAAATCGAAATATGAGAGACGAAAATCACACAGTTAGACTATAAGCTTCTGCAGCAGCCAGCGTAGTAAAAGATTTACAGGCTGATTTGCGGTCGAACATGTTATATTGAATGTAAGTCTCTTATGATAATTCTTTACGAGTATTCTTTATGAGGAAGCAGATCATATGTTTAGAGCAGACTTGTAAACCTCAGCAAGAACTGTTATCGCTGGCAAATACAGCAGAAATATTAATCATTTTCTGGTTTCAGCTCCTTGACCGGGTTATGAAATTGCAACGAGATTTACAGCTTTTAGAGCTAAGCACCGTATCTGGAATCTGTGAGAAACATCGCCGTTTGTCAACGATAGCTGAACGCTCCGAAAGTGCTATGCCCAGTATTCATAATCGCACATCGATGGCTGCCGAAGTACACGATACTAAAAGGGAAGATCCGTATACGACAAGCTTTGAAAGTTACAATGGTGGCGCATCAATAAGTAGTGCCTCTATCGGTAAGAGCGATTTCAAATATTTTCTCACACTTATTTTGAATAGGTCAATGTAGCGTGGCAAAATGGTGGACGTTTCTATAATTTTTTCAAAAACAAGCAGTATGCAGAAAAAATGTAATTAGCTTGAGATAAATTGATGCTTCATTCAAACAACGAATTATGATTAAGTTGTCATTGTGGTAAGTTCTGCTCTATGTAAATAAACGATTTCCTGTGTTTTAATTTGTACCGTTTTTTTCACCTTTTTGGTTATAGATACGCTGAACTGTGCATTCTGTCAAGAGGCTAGTTTACAGGCAAGTCTGTTAGATGCATCGGATCTGGCAGCTACTTCGCCTCCATCTGAATTATATTTGTCAGTGCGAAATCCACTTGGGTCTATTGAGAATTCACCAGAGATAGGAGCCACGCCGTTGAGGGCGACACGGGTTCGCAGAAGGCTCGCAGACAACATCAGTTTCCGAGAATCCCTTAAAAATGATAGTGCTGATGACAAACCAACAGATAACGATAAGACACCGGTAAGGGATCATGTTATCGAAAACGATCTGGAATGCAAAAAAGTCGATTTAATGTCTGGACTGAGGGGTGGATTGGAAAGGGTCGCTGCTGGGATACTCGGTAAGTTATATTTATTATATACCAGAGAAAAGCTTTGAGCATGCCAGAGCAACATGAACCTTCTATATATCAATAATAGTTTTGTTTTAAAAAGTAACCACACATTTAAGTATGTTCCTTCTTTTCACTTATTTGTGAGCCTTTCTTATTAACGTTGTAAGACGCAGAACTGGCTTCTTCCTGGCTGAAATGTCTTTTACACAGTGCGTGTAATACAATTTCACTATGCGTTAATACACGTGTTTAGAATTTACTACACAGCCTGGCTTTATTTAACATGTATTTTCGAATTGAAGCTTATCTAAGTCCTGAAAAGAAGTCACCGTCACGAATCGAGCCAACCTGCACAGGAAAAGAGCACGATCTGAAAAATGAGCCGAATAAAGAGGCTATCGATTCAAAATCCGATGGACAATTTAAATCAGACGGCGAAGACACGAGTTTCGAGTCAGCCAAAACCGCCGCATCGGAAGAGTCGTGTGGATCAGCTGAGCTGGAGAATCTTAACTGGACAGCAGATGTTGACCAGACGAGGCACCCGGATGTCAATGTTCATGATAATGATGCTGGTGATTTACTAGCAAGTGCTAAGCCAACTCAACAACTTGTAGAACGCGGCCAAAACATAACTCGGTATTCGTCGAGTCTATTTACCGACGACATCACCTTCGGTGAGTTGGGCAAATCCTTCAGTGCCGTGGTTTCCTACAATTGGACTGTTCCACGTAAATTCTCGTTGCACACGTTGCATGAACTCGTCTCTTCGTCGATTGATCTGCTATTCGCATGCTTGAAGCTAACTAGCTCTCTTTATTACGCATCGATTCGTGTTAAGGGTTGTGATCAATTTCTCGTTATTGTTCACAAGTTTCGGCTTCTATTCAGCACGAAAGCGTACCGCAAAATATCGTTATCTCAAGATACTTTGAGGTGTTCATGACCCAGAACAGAATGCCACAGATGTGTTGGCTGCAAACACTTACCATCAAGACGGAAGGTCTTGATTCATTAGGCACATCTAAGTCAAGAACCATAATTTCATCGCCGGAATGCATTTTATATAGAAGAAAACATTAGAGAAAATATTTTTGGTCGACGTATATGACGAAGAAAAAAACTACCTAATGTTTCTGCAAGTTATCGGATCGCCAGCGCTGCTTAGTTGTCATAAGCGAGTGCGTATATCTAATGGAAAATTTAAACCATCAATCGACGTTCAGGAGTTTATTTTGATCTTTGCATAATTTGGAACATCTGTGTGGAGTCGAGTTTAAAACTGACAGGAAAAAAACCAAATCTTTATAATAAATTGTCACCTACATATTACATTGGCAAATGGTTTAAGCGAGGAACCAGAAAGTAGTGCCAGTACAATCAAATTCTTTCTGGAGCAGCGAGTAGGTGCTTGCAACCTTGAAAAAACCGAGTAAATTGTGGGGAAATGGCTGAAGATTTAGGTAATTAACGCCAGTATGAAGCTGATCGGAAGAACCAATTCAAAGTTAAAAGGAGGTTTTAAGCTCCCCTTGATCAAACTGTGAATTTCGATAAACTCAAAAAAGTAGCCGTAACCAAAGCGCATCCAATCATATTCTAATAAAGTTTTAGAGTGCGTTACCTTGTAAGATATCCTTCATCGTGTGTCTTTTAGGGAAGATTGTATCCAGTGTCTCAGTTTGTGTCTAGTATGACGTTTTCTTTACCCATATTCTTTCATCCGCGATGACATATGCACATAAAATATATTTGATGAGCGGTCTTGACCGTAGCAGCTGACTTAAAGACACTTAACGTTATTTAATTTTTCTGAGTACCTCCATATATGAGTACCTAATCATGTCTTATAATTAGAAGCCCTTAGCATTTGTTTACTTAGGTAGCGCGCCGACCAGCATAAGCATAAAAATATATTATCATTGCTGAATATAGCAATTTGGTTATACATCGCAAGCCCCATTTTGATTGCATAGAATAACAGAAATTATAGCCATTTAAGCCAAAAAATGCGCTTTAAATTGGAGAGTTTTTTGTCGAAAATTATTTACCCTAGCCGATGATTTAATACAAATGTCTGTTACGTACGATAAGACTTTTCCTTGAATAATTTATACTGAAAAGAGACATATTTAAAGGAGTAAATGTCTATATTAGGCTGGGAAACTAATATTTTGTTTCTAAAATTTTAGATAATCCATTGAGTAAGAGAAGTGTTGCTTCGTCATTGAGGACTCCTCTACCAGATAATATTCAGGTACGTAATATTAGTTTAAATACACTTAAGAAAAACGAAAAAAACATAAATGTGGCATACAGAAAACATACATGACAAGACACTATGAATTTCATGGGCTCGTTATGAAATCTAGCACACTGAAATATAGACTATCGACGTTGGTAATAAATGAACATTTATATTATATATATATGAAACACTATATATCTCATCTAAAGTGAGTTCGATATCACGCTTTTCATATTACTTTTTTTATTACGTGTACAACCCCGCTTCAATAAGATTTTATGATAATGGTAATGTACGATAACTGGAGTCTTTTTGAAGACAACGTAGGGAATGGGCTGTACGTCTCCCCTCACCTGCAAGACTGTTTCCATCTTCCAAACTATAATATGTTTTTGGTAGTAGTACAGATTGATCCTTTTTGGTTTCCCTTAGAACTTGCATTATGCTACACTAAGCTCCCTCTCTTCAAGCTTCGGTCTTTTAATTAACAATAGGTTGTCAGAGTTTAATCTATTTTTAGCTTAATCGACCTCTTTCAATATTTTGGCGTTCTTAGTACCAGAATTATAAATGTTGTTTAGTTACGTAGCTTCTAAAAAATAATTGAATGGCCACTTTTGGTCAGAACTTTCTCCTGCGATTAATCTAGTAGAATTGTCGTCTATATATGCTACCTTAATTTTTAAAGCATAGTTTTTAATGGCAGTAGTGATATATATAAATTCTGATGTTGTGATCTCGGTAGAGTATAGCAACTATGTAGCTAACGAGATTTCGTGCTTCAAACATTTGTGCTTTGGGTTCACTTCAACATACGCCTTTTGATCTACAATGGACAGTGTCTCAGCGATGACGAGCTGTTCCAACAGCTTTTCACTCTCGGAATGAACCCAGGTCCAATTAATGATGCCACTCGCTCCATTTATCGACACCAACTAGCCCATCTTCGACTGGGTAATGACGTGCGTCTGGCGATTACACCGCACGGTGTAGAATCAGTTCTGTCAGATGGTACATTTCGATCGGCTGTTGCGCATGGCCAACACTGTCGAGGTAGGTGACATTACCACACGTAAAAACAGGTATATTTGGAAAACTGGAATACAGACGTCCTATAGATAGAGTCGTCTGTTCAGGCTTGGGTAGCCTCATAAATTGTAACCGAGTGTCACAATTAATTGTCTATCGATGTGCGAAGCATTAGCAATTTATTTTCTTATAGTCCACGCCCAGCTCAGATAATTCTTATAGGTTGTCGGGTTTTATTGCAAACTTTAATTATGTCGTTCGTATACCAAGGTGAACACGATGAGGGCCAGATCAATTGTTGTGAGGTGATTCACCGCGATCTCGAATCTGGCCTCATGCTTCGCGAGGAACATTATGGCACAAAGCGATCCCAATTGCCACCCAATGCTATTCAAGCGTCACCATCGCAAGCTATTCCACCTGAACTGGTCAAACTCTCCAATGATGAAGTGCGCCAACGTCTTGTTGACTTCGGCGAAAATCCAGGACCAGTGAACCGTCAAACTCGTGCAGTAAGATTTCAGAAAAAGAGAAAAAATCGTTGCTAAACAAATCGTTGGAATGATTTTTTAATGAATGAACGTGATTTAAAATGCTGTCTGTAAGTTTTTTAGGGATGCTCATCTTGTGAAACATAAACATTTCATGGGTATTTGAACAATCAAATGATACCCATTAGATACGTTTTTTAAGCTGCATAAACAGAAATGAAGTTATGCCTGAAACTACAATGTTCTCATATGTGTATGTATGTGCGTTAATCTGCATTTACAGGTGTACCTTCGTCAACTACATCGACTGCAGCAGGCGAGCGTAGCAACACCACCGCCTTCTCAACTTCGTTCAGTTTTACCTCCCGAATTGCATATGCTTTGCGTGAAATTCGGACAAGTGTTCGAGGTGTACAGCAATTTGGAGTCTCAGATGGAGGAGTCTTTCTTGAAGCAGGGTCAACGTTGGAGAGAAGGTTCAGCCAAAACAGCATTCACTTACCTCTTGCTTGATTCTAGTGTTACTCTAAACCTACCGGACAGAGCAACTCACATGAGCCTACCTGAACAGGTACGAGAAGTCTGTCAAGATACAAGTCTGTCTTATCTAGACCACTATTTAACATAGCTTAGGATGTTCATCTCTGTTTAGTTGATTATCACAGGGTGTTTTGTAGGCGGTTTTGTTGTCTTTTATCGGTGACAGCGGGCAAAGACATCGTAGTTAGTATTCAATGATTTCCGTAAATCCGCTTCCGCTCTTTCTCTCTCATGAATCGAATTCGTCTTTTCGTGAATCTGGGTGAGTTAAAATATTCTATATATAAAGTAATATACTTAATTCTTATTTAGACATCAAAACTCCGTTTTAAATACATTTTTGTTAGATCCGAAAACGGTTGTTCTGCGAGTTGGTACTTAGCCTGCTTCATTACTTCTATCCACAGATGGAAACGTTCGTGAAGGCAGTTTTTTATGTGGGTAAGGGCAAGCGATCCCGACCATTTGCACATCTCTACGAAGCTTTGGACGCGCGTGACAAGTTAGCAGTTCTTGGCGGTAACGCGTTAGCGACACCGCAAAGATTCGCAACTGCGCCGAAAATTGGGGATAAGATAAAGCGAATTTTAAAAATATGGGGGCAAGGTCACGGTGTGATCTCTCTACATATTTTCCAGAACGTCATCCCCGTCGAGGCGTATACGCGTGAAGCTGCCATGATTGAGGCCCTGGGCATCAATAGGTACGCATAGAAATTTAACCGTCGTCACCATCTTGAATGAAATGTCCATTATACTGAATTGTATTTTTTTACACCCTTATAATATACGACTGATAATAGACGACTGATAACTGAAGTAGTGACGGGATGGACAAATGACATGCTTAAACTCTTCATTATTGTTAGCATGGTAGGCTTAAATGACGGACATTTAGTAGCATTAAAAAAAAATTAACAGTTTCTGACACCAGTACTTAAATATTTATATCGACTTATGGAAGCGTAATCCACATTACCAAAAACTACTGTGTACTATTGTGTACTAAAAATTACTAGAACTTGAATCACAATCTTATTACAGACCTCTGCAGTGCCAAACGTTATCCTAATTTTTCCAGCTTTTTTCTTCAAACCATATGGATAATAAACAGTATCCAAGCCAGTAAGTTTTATTATTACAAGCGTCCGTGGGCTGGTTCAACCTGTAGTAAGCCACTGACCTTATTTAGGTTTACTGACAACCGCTAAATAAAAAACGAAAAATAACTTTAATTAACGTTAATTTTCTCTTACTTTGTATGCAGGCTCTTAACGAACGCGAAGCGGGGAGAGTTCTACGGCATAGCCGACACGTGGACAACACGGCAGCGAAAACAGTTGGGAGCCTACTTAGTGTACCGGGCAATGCAAGTATTTCTCGCAGAAGGAGAAAGAAGGCTCGGCCCATTAGATCTGTAGCAGCCCATTCTACTCATTGGACGGAAAAGTCTACAGTGGCGCTGTTAGAAGGTATGGCAGACATTATAACCCAATAGTTTCAGACGAATGATCATATCGAATGATTATAACGAAGGCAACCATGAGCCGAGGCGTAGCAAGAACTCAGTAACCTAGGCCTTATACTTTTAGCCTGTTAGTTTAGTTACGTTGGCGAAAAAAGAACGAACGGTATTTCATACATGTGATGAACAATAATAGATCACATTCAGTGAAGACTAAAAATGGAGGTTGTACGCACAGCACAACCTGCAAATTCAGTTGACTAAAGGAATATTAATGTTAGTCAGGCCCTTTCATTGAAATTACCCGAAGTAGGGTCATGCACAGTCATCTCGCCTGCTCATTTGTAAACATCAGATGAGTCAACATAATTCCTAGCATTAAGTTTATAAAGGCCAATAGTCAACCTAAATTTCTGAAAAAAACAGAAATGATTACGTGTTGTAAATTAAGTCTTGAAGACAGAGTAGAAAACAACAAACTATTTAACGTCTTTGATTGAGCGTTCGCTTCTATTACCAGGTGGATGTATTTAGTTTTGTTTCATTGTTGAAAATAAAGCAAATAAATACTTGGACAAGTCGAGTCAAGCAAGTATATTAAAGCAGTGAACTGTACTCCGCATCGGAATACGTCCATCATTATATATATGTATTTTCAAAAAAAAAAAAAACATTGTCTGTCTCCGTGGCTTACCTCATATTATTTGTATATTGTTATGTGATTAAACCTTAAACAACGCGTTGTCGTGTTATCGGGAGACAGACCTGGAGTTGGAAATCCTGAACAGCATGAAAAAGTAAATTTGGATTGACAAAACATGTGTATATAGAGTGCAACGATAAACAGACAAAGAAACATAAATACTGAAAATTTATGTGCATTTGTGTGCTGATACAAAAATAAGAAAAAAAGATAGATACGGATCAATCAGTGGATATACGGAGACTATCATAGGCAATAAGGTGTCAAACGTTATCACTGTGTCAGGCGTATTCCTATTTAACCATGCACGTATTAACATCAACAGTGGAAATTGGTTTAAGGCCAAAGCGTGAAATCTTTGTCGACAACCCCCCGATGTAACAACAGAACTCGAGGAAGTATTTAGTTGTACTAATATATATATATATATATATTATATATATATATCCCTTCGAACTGTCCACATTTGCAACAACTCATTATCATTTCCATTATTTCAGCATTTTCTTAAAAATATTTTTAGGATACAATTACAGCAAATTTAATAATAACATATGCCTTCGTTTTTGTGGAGGACTTTAGAATGCGCACAAAACAACGACTACTACTACTGCGATTTTTTTGTCTTTATTTGTACCTCATTGGTTTATCAATATCATTCTCATTCATCAACATTAGGTCTAAGAAAACCCACTAAACATTCCTATTTACTACTATCTTTATGATCTTCTATAACATCAAACGCTACCTCACTGATTTAAACAACCTGTCGATGAGACACGTTTATATAATCTCGTCTTTTCTTTAAGCAACAGCACAACAAAAATATTTATTTTAAATAATTTCATGCTATTTCGGTTAAACTCAACACAACCATTTATAATACAATAATATTGTCAGTTTTATGCGTTGGTTTATCTTTAAGAGACCAGTTGGTGTCTGGACAGCCTAAAGCGTGAAGTTCAGATAAAGGTAGTACAATGGTTTGTTAAATTATTAGAGTTATGTGAAGGAAAAGACAGCGAGAGTAAACATTTTGAAAGGAAAGGTAATACAATTCAAATTATTCTCAGCTTGTCTCAAGCACCGTACACTCACTTAGGGCTTATAAATAAAATATATAAGCGGGTATTATATAAAATAAACTTTCAATAAAGTTGGTGAAAAATGTCATACTAAGAATTCTGACTTATTTTTGTTATGCAGACGTATCCTTACAGGCAGCCTTAATTACAAATTTATCTTGGCCAGGTTAGGGACGCTAAGAACATATAGGTTATATTGTTCTACATGTTTTTTACATACTGAGTAGCGATATTTAACCTTACATGTAATAACCATACAAGTAACGACATCTAGGTATATACAGGCTTAATTCTAAAACTTTGGCAGACAAGAATATACTGCGTAAATTATATTCGGGAACTAGTTAGACCATTGTCAAAAACAGTAGATAAAAGATAGTAATAATGTTATAAAAATTATTAAGGTGTACATAATGTGTTCGATACGATAATGGAAGGGATATAAACATTGTATCAATATTTGGGAAGGTGATCGATGCGGTCAAAACGGAGACGTTTTACCATGATACAGATTATTTACGTACTGTGGTCAAGTCACTTTTTCACATACGACCACTCCTAAATTGTTGATAACTAAATTGTTGATAAAATGTAGGTATGTATATATATTTATCTATTATATTTATTTACATTCGAATCTAGAAAGTTGTATCTTTGATCTTAAAAGGAATGTCGAAAATATGTCTGTTTAGTTGTTTTGTATATATTTTTTACAAATCGATTGCTATTTGCCTATTTTGTAAAAACATCAAGGAAATCTAGCAAGGAAAAAGCTACAGTGACCATTGCGGGATGGAAACAGTATACTAAGGCACTGTGAACTTTGTTGGTGCTTAAAAACATGGAATGTTCTGGATACTTTCGTTAACTCTCAAATGGTGAGAACGGCAAAGAAGCACAAGAAATAAAGTGCACACAGTTAGCTCAGTCTTAGACACTTAGCTACGTTTAGTTTATACGGCCAGGTCTTCAGTGGCCGAAGTCACATTTCAGCTTATTCCATACAATCGAATTTAGCTCCGGTTGAACAGCGCTGTGTGCCAGACCAGTGATATATTACGCTAACAAATAAAGCAACAATAACACTGTTTAAGTTGATCGGGTGTGTATACCTAGCCTTGGCGAAAGTGAATGAACAGATAAAGATCGCAGATTCTACGATGACGTTTATGGATTACTTCTCTTGTCTATTTGTACGGTGCTATTAATTTTTTTTTATGTAGGAGCTTATATAAGGTAAATTATCGCAAAAAAACGATCAACAGTACTTTTTAAAAAAATCTGTTTTTGATAGAAAAAAATTTAATTGCACTTGTTTCTATTGGCTTGTCATATCCTCGACGCAACAAAAGTACGCGCACACGAATGACCGAGACACAGGATATGAAGTTTTTATCCATGAAGGCTGTCCGTAAGACGTTCAGACCTGCAGATACGTAGATTACACACTATTCCACTTTCTTAATAATACCAAAGTTAAGTCGCATTTGCTCAAGGAAGATCCACATGAGAATCGTGTGAGGTCCTAATCTCACAAAAGCAGGAATATATCCTTTATAGAAGGCGTGAGGTCCTTCGCGGGCAGTCTGGATAACACAGTCAATCACGCTGGTATATTGCCCTGAGGTCGCGTTCATTATACGTGTTTTGAGCACGTCTAGAGGTTGCGTGAGCGTCGTGGCAATTGCGCCCTAAAATGAATAATTTGGTTATAGGAAACTATAAATATCTATTGCGTATATATAGAAAATATCATTGCAATGGCAATAAATATTTGCTGGTTTAAGGTACAGCTCCGGATCCCCGTAAAGGATTTTTTGGTATCTACTACAGCAAAGAGAGGTGACGCAAAACTAGGTAACAGATTTATGATCTTATTTGACAGTCTTGTAAAGTGTGTAGGCATGTGAAAGAAGACGGAAGAAAGATAATAGCATCATATACCGTATCTCTAGTCAGAACTATAATGACAAACAGGAGAAAAGCAAGCTTTCGGATAAAACGAAAAATAGAGTTCAAAAACTAATAAAGTTTAACAGTTATAAGCAATAACAAAAAGAGAAAAACAGCTTTTCTTGATTTCTAGGTGACTTTATGTTGTATTAAAATAGACCTTACCGCAGCAAAACTCGATGACAAATGGGTTACCAGGTTATCGTTGAAGAACGGAGAGGCCAATAGCATCTGCTTGACTTGCTCGTAAAACGAAATCTGCCCAATTGTTACAAAAACTGCACGTGAGATAGCCATAGAAGCTCCATTAAATAAGTTAGTTATACCTTCTTTGCGGAATACTTGATAAAGTCCGTCGAACGCATTCTTGTAGCTGAAAAGTAAGTTTGTAAAAATATAGTCTAGGAAACCAGCAATTGTCAAAAATGCTTTTACATAATCAAGAAAGAACGTTTTTACAATCAACAGTATAACAAACTTTAAATGTACCGCACGAATAGCTTTTGAGTGGAAATGCTACGAACTTTCTGCGTTCAGCAAGGGGTAGCTTCATATCATTCTGCATTCTCACGTTGATCATATCAGCGGGAGTTCCAATGAAACCACCTGCAGCACCAGAAACTGCTGCGAGGCCCACCTTTTCCAAAAATGCCATACTTTCGCCTGGTTTGACCACTTTCGCTCTAGCAATTTCATAAATGCCAAATCGTGTTGTTGAATATGTTAACTGTAAAAATAGGACGTACGCATTGAGATCGAAAAGATGAATGTTATTCTACCACCAATATGTATAGTTTTTTAATTTTTATTTTTTATCTCGGTTTTATTTAATACCACTTGTTCATTTGATGTAACTTCTCAATGATTTTTTTCTACATCGTTTTTATCCTGTGCTATCACAAGGTATTCGACAGGCCGAGCTAATGAAATAGGTCAGTATTATGTGATAGATTTTTAAACAGGAATATAGAAGTGCCCGTATTTTAACCATCTTGCTCTTGCTCAATTATGGAAGTTCACAGGGTTTATTTACCTGTCGTAGTATTGAAGCAGAGAGGCCGTTGTAGAGACCACGAATACCACTAGTGCGAATGACATTCATGGTACTTGCTTTAATACTTACTGGCGTTTTAGTTTGCAATACTTTGCCTTCGGTTTGTAAGATCACCTGTAGAAAAACCAAATGTATAGAGATCTTTAGTGGTAGTATCCTATAGACAATGAAGTATATCAAGGATAACTTTGCGATGCACTCAAAGCTCCTCAGAGTTGCTAATCTACTAAAGCTTTTTATTTGCGGGGAACCAAAGTGGCAGACGATGCGGTTACGAGGAATAGCAAAACCATATACGTGTGTAAAGAAAATGCAGCGGCTTAAAAACCTTAGACGGGCTGCTTGTCGTAGAGGGAATGCATTCATTCCCTACTCCTACTTTAAGACAAACGTCAGTTCTTTCTTGATAAACTCGTCGTTTCCCAAGTTTAAAGAAAGATCAACTATCATTCAATCTCTTCCTGCTGACGGCACAACAACAAAAACGGAAAGTTTCTTTTTTGCCCAAAAGGGATAGTCTACGTTATTGTCAGCGACTTCTAAAAATTCTGAAAAAGATTTTTCATGAAATAAAACGAAAAATTTAAAGGGTTCAAAAGTTTACCTCGAAAAGCCACTTCCGATACACAATATGAATTTTGTAGTTCAGACCCTGTGCAGTTTTAGGACTTTTGACCTGCGGTCAGTTTAAAATTAATTTCCGCTTAAAAGTTTTGTATGTAGAGTATTTAAGCGATACTCTAGCTGTTTAGACTTTTTAATATCGTTTGACGTACAACTAGTATTTAAAAAATATGCGCGGATTAAGAAAGGGGATATTTCAAAAAGGACTAGCGAACGGTTTAAACCCCAGATTGAGGTGCTAATCGCGGTGAATGGCGACTATATTAGATAATTATGATCGTTGGGAATGACAATTTTATCACCTGCAAAAGCTTTGTTTGAGATATCCTGTCTTATTTAAATATAAGTTTTGAAACAAGGCCTACATATAGATAATGTATATATATAAACGTAGGTTTATTAGACAAGTCAACTTTGTAAAGGAAATGTTGGTATCTGTTCAAATAATCAGTAATATAAATATAGATGGCAGCACTTATTCAAAATTAAAATGATGACAAATTCACACCCTTTAATACGAAAGCAAATCAAAAGGACCGTCGCGAACCTTGAGTAGGTCCAGGGGATGCGTAACACAAGCGGCCATAGATCCTGCGACCCCGCCAAAATACCATTTTGCGACACGAACGGTTTTAACTTCTTGAACTCTACCAGCTGTGGGCGCTTCGTTTTGTGCATTTGATGATGAAGATGCCATGTTGACCAAGTGGCCTTCCTGCGTTCAATATATACAAAAGAAACATACGCATCAGAGAAGCTTGGGGTAGTAGGGGTGGTACCCATGGTAGCTTAATGGGTAACGTATTTACGTGCAAATCTCGGGAACAATTGGTAGTCTAGATTCGAATCAGGGCATAGACACACTTCATTTTGTACTGCCAGCCGCTTGATAGAATGCCTTACGGCGGTGTCGGACCTCAAACTCGAAACATTTAGCAGAGGTGGTACATAAACTTATAATGTAGCAAAAACCTGTCGAAATCGAGCAGAAAGAGTATTACTTCTGGTTAATATGTCGTCTATAAATCAGCGTTTTTCTCATTGTGCAGCGTTATCTTGTGGAAAAACTCTCGCTCAAACTTGGTTCGACGATACTATGAAGGGCCAACTGTGAATAAAAACGTAATCGCTTCTATGGTACATGTAAAAGAAAAACGATGCGAAATTAGTTTCCTAGTGAAAACTCGCGTTCTTTGCAAACCGGCAAACATGTCCACTTTAATGTGAAAATTAGAGTGTAATTCTTCAAAAATGAAAATTGTATGTTTTTCAAATGAGAAGAACTTTCCTAGTGATTATATCTTTAGGCGCATATCACTAGTAATTCGCTCTAGCGATATACCACAGTTTCATTCCAGTCATTACTAGTTTCTATAACATTAACCGTTACAAAATCATTAGCTGCTCTTCACACAAGAGTATTTATTGCCAGTACAGCTATAGTCTACATAAAAATAAAACGTTACTGCTCTTTTTAAATTATTAAAAACATAATCAAGCGCTTCAACAAATATGTGCCCATGCGCAAATATTTTTTATTATTTGTCCATACATTGTTACGTGAAGCATGTCACATTTAACTATGAGCTACGTTATGTTTACATCTATACTCCTTATGTAATTTGGTTTAAAGTAAAAAATATGTAAAAAATAAAACAGATTGGAGACAAAATCATCAATTCGACGCCACGACTGAATGATTTCAACACATCTCAGAAGGACAAGAAATTCGCGTGTCCAAGCATGATCATATGGTATATCCTACGGGGCTATCGTGTTGTTACGCATGGTATCTTACTCTTCGTGAGAGACTTGAAATAACTTTCCTTGCATATGCATTCATTCGTTTTTTCTTTCCATGACTCATAGTCCCCAGCTGTTGGATTTAGCGTCTATTGAAAATTTAGTGATACTAAATAATTTACTGCATAAGCTGTGCGTGGATCACATTCAAGCTGCATGGAGAAAGAATAAAAAAATTGTTTGACTTAACTTTTCCATCCTGAAAAAAATTCCACCATAAGACCTCAGTACTCTATAGGACATTCGCCACAAACAACAGATAATAATGAATATAATTTACAGTACCCTTTATAAGCGATGATCTCTCTACATTACTTATAATCAGTTACTTGTTTAGTTTAGAGAAGTTTTATCATGATATCAGATTTATATAGTACTCAAAGGTAAATTGTGTACATCAAAGCAACCTCCCTTAGCATATTTCAGGGTCAGGTCAGTTTCTTTTATTGCCTCACCACCTCACGTAACTTAAGAAAAAGCTGATGCTGAAATTTAACCCTATATAATACAGTCAGTATATTTTATTAGATATAGGGCATGAGCCCTCACATTCGTCTGTCCGGTGCAATCAATTAGAGGCCTCGTTACATGTCATTACCAGAAAAGTAACAACGATGCATAATCTGATAGATGGTTTTATATCCCCTTTTAGTTGCTAGAGGTCGCATTCGAAGGGGCTTCCAGGAACGAGTTCGTACATCGTTTACTATGAACGTTAAATCACTTCCAGCTTCCGATGACTAATATTCACTCGCAATGCTGAGCCAATGGTTGAAGTTTTTGAAAACCGATTAAGCCGTGGAGTAAGCGGTAAACTAGCATTATGAATTAATACATACTTCGCATCGCAGAGATCAGAGATATAAATCCGTGTAGTTTTTAGAAACACCGATGTCTTCCGAATTTAATTTCTAATTAATCATAGCTATTCGATAGTAATTCGCAACATCGGCAGTTATCCTGACAGCACCATATAGATAATAATAGATGTCCTTCTAAAGCTAACTTTTTGACTTTTGCCCTTTTGCTTTTTTGTGAGGAGAGGCCTTTCCCAATTTTCATAATTGGGAAATTCCCATAATAATTCCCATAATATGCATAATTCGAGTGATAGGTGGAAAAATATATGTATTATGCGCTCGACAGGTTAACCACCATTCGTCAGATGTAATGACTGCAATTCGCTTGTCAGCCAATTTGACCTGTGTCGCTTATGACACGTCGCTGTACGATATTAATTTTAGGAAACATATTTTACTTATCGGCGATATGGAAAGTTACCGAACAGTCTTGGCTGTCGACTGCAATGTGGGCATTTAGCAAACGATTTGGTCACTTCTGTTATAATGTAGTATTCAAACTTACTGACCTGTCACTATGCCGCACCATTCACGTCAGAATTTTGTGTTAATACTAACCCCACATATGGCATTCAAATAATTCTACCATTATGTATTAAGTAATCATTTTTATTGTTAGCGCGCTTTCCTGGCATATGCAAGCAAGAGGCGCGAACGCATTGATGAAGTGTTTTATTTGGTTATAGGAGACCTTTGTCAGTTAATAAAAAGCATCCCAAAAAGATTAACACAAAACAGCTAAGCAACGCGACAGTCAGTAAGTGATTTACAATAAGTGATTCAATTAGATTGATACTTATATATACATACGACTCATTGCCTGGAAAACGGCTATATGCAGACTGGTTGTCACTTATAATTTCTAATGAAAACACCTGCATTAACCGTTTTGCCGGCGATTAAACGGAAACGTTCGCCAATAGCGATCACTGTTACTCAAAACGTGATACGGTATGCTTAAAGCAGTATACGGTTTTGAAATACTGAAGTACAGATATAAAAGTATCTAAATACACCGCACTTTTTTGCGATCAAAAAAAAACATGTAGAAATCGTTAGAGATGGGGACAGTCATGAGAGGCTTACATCTTTATGTTTCCGACTATTCGTACACTGCCAGCAAGAAATTCGGAAAGATTAAAGCGTTCGCTCAACAGATAGTTCTATAATAACCGACCTACTTCGCGAACCGACGGCGTTTGGCAGTTTCAGTCTAGGCAGCATGGGGATCTTGTAGACAGTAGACATGTCAACTGCCATTACGCCAGGGATCGTGTAAAGGGATAGGTGTATCTTGAATAAAGATAAAAAATGGACCGGTTTTCCCATATTTCACATAAAACGTCAGTGAATAGTATTTTCTATTTGGCATTCAGCAGCGATTTAATTTTGTTTACTGGAGTTAGTCCTGTTTAAGAGCTCTGTACTAAAAATTACAAGTGGAACTTTTCTGCTTTGAAATATAGGCATCTAATTTTTTTGAACTCATTTTCCTTCGTAGCCTATTGCTTTTAAGAACATTAGGCAGAAAAATTTAAAAAACCTAAGCTGCAAAAGACGGAAGACCAACATGATTTTGCTCAGAATAAGATGATCCTAAGTAATAAAGGTTTTTAACCCCATTTGCTCTGTTTAGGGTTTAAAATCGATTTGTCTTATAATGGATTTTTGTCCGAAATTATTCTCACCAGGAATGCTAGAGTCAACGTCATTTAATATATGATGATGATGAGCTACAATAATATTATTTTAGGTGATTAGGCGATCAGCTTGTCAAGCTGCACGCGGTGCCATTTGGAATATACAATGGAACTTGATGTGTATAGCTTCGAATGTGGTGATTTCCTATCTTTATGTTAAAGAAAGGAAATTTAGTATGTTACTACCCTTTGGACCCAAATCGGGGCATTAAAGTATGTAAGTAATTGGTGCAGACAGCTATGTCAATAGGAGGAAATTTAAGTGTGCTTAAGCTGAATAAATGTTGTTACTGAACTTAAGCAATTTAGTTTAAAATCATCTTGTAAAGCACTGGAGTGCGTCATAGTTAAGGTTAACATGTACTGCTCTATGGGTATATAGGTTCCTAGTACGGTACCAAATCATTTATAACACTTTCTCATATTTTAAAGTTTAATGACAAAGCGGGCGAACACAGTAATAATAAGATATTTAGAAATCAAGAACATCTGTTGTTCCCATCGCATTTTGAGCAACAGGGCAGCAAAGCTTTAGTCCTAGTAGAACAGACGTATTTATGATCTGACTGACAACGCAGAGTCTTAGAAACGGTTAGAGGTCCCATATCAAAAAAGGAGCAAAAATTAAAGCTGCATAGGTTCGGGTAGAAGATGAGCAGTATTGACGCAGTAAAAGACGCATTGATCCGACAATTATGAGATCTTTGGCTATCGAGTGATTATACATTAAATATTGTTTAAATAAACAACAATGTGTGGCCTTTTTGCATGGTATGCTGTTTTTGGCTTTCTTCGACTTGAAGGCCAACTGCATTCTGCTCACTGTTAACCAAACGTTCGTATCGACAAGCCTGTGCCAAACAAGTAAATTAGTATCTGTTTCATGTCATGAGGAACAGAATATTTTTTACTAAAGAGTTAAATGGGCTTAAACGTATCCATTTGAAAAAAAATATTTCAAACGAGCATTGAAGGCGTACAACGCTAGTGAAAAAATAATGCCGTATTCTTCATGGCGGTACTGACATTAACATAAATGTATCGTTTTCTCTTAAATGAAAATGATTCCCTTCTTCACAGAGATCTTCGAAGGCCCTTAATAGATAATCACTTCTTTCTTGCTGTGTGCTCGACGATGATCAGTGTGCACTTTCGTATGTGAAAATATCGTAGTTATTTTTTAGGTTCCGCTTGGTTATGGTTCAGATCTTGTTTCGAATAGGGGAGTTTGGAAGTTTAATATACTAGTCTTCTTTTTTCTGAAATGCAGCACATTTTTTGTTTTTAAGACTATTTTCAAGATCATGGTCTAAATTCCGTTTTATACAAAAATCCTCGATTGATTATCAACAGTGATCCCATACGCCAAAATTAGATGGACGTCCATCAATTCTATAGTATTCTTTCTAATGGTGCCGAAACGTGCCTACTTTTATCACAGTATTGGAACCCATTTATCGTAAAGGAGGTTGTTCATTTTTTGCGTCACGCGTATTGACTAACTCTTTCCGTACGACTTTTTAAAGCAAAAAATATGCGTTAGCTGAATTACGGAGAAAAACAACTTCATACTGAGGGAGAGCCGTATAAAGCGATGCTCAACTGCCTAAATACTTCACATAAAACTCGAAATACTTATTAACTGAAAATAAGAAATACCCGCACTCAATACGGTAGCCATAAATGTCGATACTGATATCTCTACCAGCACTAAGTGGTATAAAATCATAATAAAGTATAAGACATTTAGCAGGCTCTGTTCCGTGTAATATTGTCGCTTAGTATCGACGGCGTTTTCAATAATCGATTTCGATCTGTGAGTGTCTGTGCGTGTATATCTATGTGCATGTAAGCCTTATCCCCAACTAAACGAGACTGCCGGCTGTGATGACCATCAAACCTATCGTTCTAAAAGACTGTCATTGAGACTGAATGTTGAAGGGTTTATAAGCGAAGACGTAGATTCCCACACGGTTTTCCGTACTTACTCTAGCGTCATGCTACTCTTAATAGCTACTTGCTGCTATTTCACAGTGGTGTTCGAAAACCTCAAATAAAGCACATTAATGTTACACTATATTATAGGAATCCAGTAAGAAATACACTTCCAGCAGATTCAGCTAATCTTGAACATATTCTTCGATATTTCAACACAACATTTAGTACTTATTTTGTTAATTAAAGAAACACATTTTCCATGTATGCTTGTTATTGATACTTAGATTTTCTTTATAGGGACAATCATTAGCTCTGCAAAATCATGGCTTAATCAAGATAGAGACATATTATAATGTTAGTATTCGAGAACGAAACTGCCATTTCTCTGGATATGTTATACGATAAATAGACTTTAGTCAGTTCTTGGTCATTTCAAGGTCATTTCAATATATCGTTGGTTTAAAAAATCCTATATTAAAAATATACTGGGCATGACTTGTTGTTCTGAGAAAACTGTCACACGATATCATGGAGCCTATCGTTTAGCTATCGCGATTCGATACTCTGTCAGCTGCAATGCATCAGTTTCTCTTAGAATGATTAATGTTATATATTGTTCTTGCGATTGCTTTTGACAACTCAGCCACTTGTCCTTGTAGTAACTTTTACGTGAATACTGCGTCTTCATTTGCTCAAAGAGTACATGGAACAATGTTGGATTACCAAGTACTAGGCCACTGGCATGGACAGTTGCACTGGGTTTGGTTACTATGTAGTTCCATATCCCTTGCGCAAGTGCTGCATGTATTGAAGTGTTTAACCGTCAAGGGAAACATAACTCAATTATATGTCATGTTTAGATACAAGAATATTGGTTCCTAAACTCCGTTCGTGCCTTCATAGAAACTTATAGGGACAATAGTAGAAGCTGTGCGTTCCATATCATCAACGTGGAGCTTGACCATGGCCCTTATAACTGCTACAGAACCGCATTCCGACGTTTCTATTAGCCTTCCTTTGTGACTTATGTTTTGTGTTTCATGTATAGCTTGAAACAGCCTGTCATTCATACGTCTTGATATAACGATGCCGTTTTTCAGCCTGAACTAACGTTTCCTTTAAATATGTACGTGAATAAGCATTGTGTCTGCGAATCTCTGGAAACGCTTGGTATCATTCCGATATATCGTAAGCAAACCAACTCAAAGGCTCTTCTTTCTTCTACGTTTTTCTAACGTCAATTTACCAGAACGGACCATGATGCTTTTCAGTTAAACATGAGAATGTAAAAAAGCTAAATGGCTAGAATTTGGCTTGCTTGTAGAGTCAATTTATTCCAAAAGGCACAGTAATAGTTGACAGCAGTTACTGAGGGATAATCTCAAACAGGTAAAATGCTTCCAGTTTTTTGGATTTAGTCTTGTCGTTAAGCGCTCCCTTAAAAGGCACGTGACCATGCCATTAATTTACTAATTTACTTGTGATAAATTAGTCCTTTTAAGCAATTTATACCTATGAGCGTTGTTTGAACCACTGCGCGGCCGCCACCTAATAGGTATGTGGTGTTCTGAACATCTTAGTACCCACAAAATGCATCTATCCCAGTCCATTTTACCAATGCTGCTACTCCTATAAATACTAATAGCAAAACTAAGCTTGTGCAGCTACGGGACCTAAATAACTCCAATGACATTTTGAAGCACTTATGTAATATGTAATGTTAACCCTGCAATTGAGCGCCGATAACCATGTTGAATAATGTAATAGTGCTAGTTTTTGTAACGACAATTTTAGATGGCGTTTCACAAACAGCAAAGACTGGAACACAGATACGAAGGGTGAAGCGGCGACTGCTGTCTAAATTGGCCATGTAGACTTAACTACATTGTCTTTAGTCTTTCAGTGGATCTATACCGTCTATTTCATGGCACAATAATACCCATGTGTCATCGTCAATTTGCCATTTACATACGATTTAATAAATCTACGTAAATAGAGTAGAGCTGTTCACTGGATTCGCATTATTACTATTCATACAATCGCTGCCGTATGCCTTGTCCATATATATGTAAGCTTATACAATGATATTGACGAACTATAAAGAGCTATTACGCATTAATCACGCACTTCCCTTAATGGGCGCTCCACTGGTCGATTCATTAAAGGTCTTCTGGTCGTCGGCCATAAGGCGAGACGGAGTAGCAATTTCTGCTCTTACGACTACTAAAAATCTAACCGTAACTTGATTCTCGATCGCTTTCTGCTGCTTCTTTTTTTATGAACGTTATCAGATAGTACATGTTTAAGAGCAGCGGGAACTCTCTATTTTGACGCAATAAGATGCTTCGTTTCTTTTCAGTTGAACAGCTGTTTCTATGTTATTCTCCTTCCCTTCAATATCCTACCTGTTTAAGTTGTGAGGGGAATGTTGTTTTTCAAGTTTGCTTTTTTCTGAGGAAGATTTGTCGAACGTTCCCTGGAGAAACAAGAATCACCACCGCCCGTTGCTCAAAACACTGAACTAAATTGGCTTCTCGAGAGTACCGCACTCGTTCACTGCGGTTACACACTTCAATACTCTGCTGCTCCAGCTGCTAGTGCCGCTGCTTCTTTACCACCACGCAACAATTACCTGCACTTATACAACTACTCGGCCCGTGCTGCTGCTGATCGTTCCGCGCCCCACAGTCTAGAGTTAACGATCCCAAGTGAGTTATATGAGTGACTGACGGCGCGAACTGACTGACAAATTGACGAACTGATCTTGAAGACGATTGTCGTGGTCAGCCAGCGCGAAAGGTACAGTCGTGGCCTCCAGCATTGGCAAGGACGCTTCTCGCTCCAGCGCTAATTGTCTGCGGCAGCAGCAGGAGCACGCTGTATAGTTGTTGTCGTTGCAGTTGGCACCAGTCGGCTGTTCTCACAAACTGCTAACGGTGAGCAGGAGACAGGCATGCAGCGCTCGATCGTAAAACGGAAGCAGTAGTCGCAACAACAGCTGAGCTGCGCAATGGGAAAGGGAACGACACCGGCAAATGGCTGGTTCTATAACAGCAGCAGTAGCGTTTTAAGAAATTATATTTTCTTTACGACATCGTAATATACCGCGCTTTGAAATCGCGCACACAGTTCCGTTCTTCTTAACTCTGCGAGGACACGCATGTATGTAATCGCCTGCATCCATACATTAAGCAGACGGTCGGCCAGCGGAGCAATATCCGCTATTGTAGGTAAGGGCGATTTAACAGCGCGGGTGGAGGCTACGGATCGAAAACAATTCACTAGTATTTGCATGCAACCGGCCCTACTGAGCACATCGAAGAAAACACCAAATTCCTAATTTTAAAAGTCGATGGCCGAGGCGGAAGTTAAAGGGTAAAGGGATGAGAGGCACTACATGACTTGATACAGCGTATCACCTGGCGGTTTCCGTGGAGAAAGATTGAAAGATAAAAATGGTGCCGAGATTACGGGTGTGGTAAAGAAGCCTTCTGCTTTTGGCTAAGAGGTCATCTTCGCGAATAGAATACATGTCACGAAATACCACTGCTTAGACCGCTAGTTCCAATGTAGAACAATATTAGCAAAGCAGCTTATATATCTTATGGCTTAAATACCGCGCAGCACTTTGTACAGAAAGAACTAGTCAGATAGCTCCCAATTGTTCAAACAGTTACGCTGCTTTGAGTAATAAGAAAAAATGAACTGAAACGTAGGCACGGTAGTAGTAGAAAAGAATTAAATTGGTGGATAAGTATAAGCAATACGAACATTCATGTTTTTTTATATTACTAACACTAAATGAATCACTACCGGTCAGTGTTAAGTATTTGCAAGCATTTTTTTAGTTCACATAGTCACCATCAAAATACCATTGAAAATTTACGTTTAATTTTGAAAACAATTTTTGTTGAAAATTAGTTACTGGACGCAGTAGGGATAGACGTAAATCAAGTATCGGTAAATTTAGTTATAATATCGTCGTAACTACTGACATGAGAACAAAATAAGGAGTAATATTTTTAAGATAAGGAGTGGTGCTTTTATGTAATGAAGAAAATGTTGTTGAAGTTCGAAGAGAGCTCTTATGACTCAAACAATAGTTTAAAAACTTACCTGGATGACTGAATTTTAACTATAACAGAGAATAGTATTAAAGAAAGTTGAAGTCACGAGTATTATTATCACTATTAGGAAAATTTATATCAAATGAAATATTTTTACAGATAACATTATATTATTATGGTTTCTAGTGACAATACCTTGTATAGCGTCTCTTTTAGATGCGTCACAAATCTCACTCTTCAACCGATGTTCGTCTTTGAAGTTTGATAGGGTCGATTTCAAAATTCGGTCACCTCTTCTGCAGAACAAAAACGCCAAAGTTAGGAAGTCAAAAAAAGTTTGAGTTTCTTACTCAGTGCAAAATAAAATGTTGCACCTGTGTATCGGTCGTTAGTTGATGTTATACTTTATTTTCGGTCAAAACTGGATCATGCAAACATAAGCAATGCTAGTGGTCATTTCGACATATTCCTTGATATTATAGTAACAAATGTGTTTCTATGTGCGCCTTTTCGGGCGATGAGCACTAGAACAACAATGGCTAGCAATAACACGAAGTTTACCAAGTACATTCTTCTTCAATTTATTTTCTTCCTCACTTTCTTATAAGTTACTCCACATAAGTGCTTCTTTTAGCTCATTCTTTCTTATTTGACTCGTTTTACAGTAAAACGGTTACATATGTACATCTTGCTCCACTTTTTTCAGCCGACTGTGTACAGCAACTATTTACACGACACTGATAATGAAAGAACAAAAAAAATACATTACAAGTTCCACAATTTTACTCTTTTTCTGTGTTGTTAACTTCTTTTGGTGATACTGGGTTGTTTCCTTTTGTTATTTTACCTCTTTAGCTTTACATATCAACTCCATTTGCTTGCTTATTTACTTATATATTTGTCGCGCACTACTTGTGTTTATTTTACTATGTACTATTCACGTATGATTATTTATATATACGGTTTCTGTGTATTTCTTATGTGTATGTAGTTGTCGGTGTGTTTCCGAAAAGTGTTTGAATTATTTTTATTGTATATATTTACGTAATTCTCTTTAATATTCAGTCAATAGGTGGGGTCACCCCCGCGCATCGTAGAGATAATCCTCAAGACTGGAGTTACCAGCCTATGCTGAACTCGCGCGCGTTTCTCCTATTATTTCAAAGGTAGAGAGACTTCGAACATTACAAGGTCACCAGATTCGATGGACCGTTATCATCTGGACGTATCTTTAACATTATTTTTAATCTTATTATTAATTTAATTCATATTTCACAACTGACCAGGGCTATTAACTATTTGGAACTAGGCTTCTTTCGAATTTCCTACAACATTAATGGCGACAGCTTTAACGACGCTGTTAAACACATGCTACCGTGTACTGAATGCTCTTGGAAAGTCTCCATTAAACATGGCCACGTTGGTTTAGTACACTGATAATAGATGCATTACGGTAGGGGGCAGCACAAGAAGATACCAAGAGGGCTATGCCATTTAATTTTTTTCATCGGTCAATTGCGGTGGCGGTATTGTTGTCGTTGCTAAACTTTAACATTATCAAGCGACGAAAGATCAATATCATTAACGTCAATCTCTTCGAGGTTATCCAGATTTAGGTCGTTCCAGGCGAAGGCGGTGTCAGCCATCGCAATGCCACCCATCCCGACGTCAAGCACGACTCCCCCACCAGCTGCAGGACCACTTCCTATATTCATTGCACCACTATTACCACCTCCACTCCCGCCAACAGTATTAACAACAGCTGGCCCTACCCCGAGGACCGACGATGGCCTCTGAACTTTCGGGGGCAGAGGTGGAAGCGGTGCCTGTCTAGGTAGGGGCGGTGATACTGCGGTAGCCACTACCGCTGCAGCTGCCGCAGTAGCTTTAGCCGCTTCCCGAGCTTTGCGTTTCTCCTCCCGTTCTCGGTCGCGCTTTCTCTTCGGCTTCAACGGCTGCCGACTGCTCGGCGGCTTTTTAGTAGAAGACGAATGACTTGCAGTAACTAGGCCACCAAGAGATTCCCCACCACCGTCACCACCTGCACCAACTCCACCTGGCGGCACACGTTGCAATTCTTCGTCGACAACGAGCACGCCCTCAACGTCATCTGCTTCGTCTCGTTCGTCATCAGGTATTGCCACCATACTAGTCGAGCACAGACTGAGTTCGCTGGCCGGTGAAGCCGGTACCGAGTCGCCGACTGAGTCCTCGGGTATCATCGGTTTAATCTTCTTGGGCCGTCCCACCGGACGTCCTGTCGAACGGTTGCTGCGTTTTCGCTTCGGCAAAAAGCCCATCAAGGCTTCCGCTGCGTTAGCACCACCGTCACTACTTTGAGCGTTATTCTGGGGCGTCGAGGTTTCCGCTAGAACGGTTTGGGCCGCTGCTGCCGCCTGTTGCTGGGCCTGTTGTTGTGCTATCTGTGCCTGTTGCGCCAGCAGTCTTCGCTCTTCTTGTTTCTGGCGGACTACGACAATAACGCAATTACAAAGCAGAGAAAGACGGAAAACAACAACACAAGAATTAATGTACATGTTAATTTTTCAACAGGAGTAATGGACAACAACTGGTAGCAACATGTCTGACAGGCAGTACTTTGTTTACAATATCTCTATATTCACTCCATTGCTATACAATACATATATACGCCCTTTTGCTTGAATAATTCATACTTACGATCGCCTTGATTACTCACATTTTCTCTCTAGCTCATCGTCGTCGAGCAACAACGATACAACTTCCTTCGGCTTTAGTGCGTCGTGAGGCCGCATGTGTGTGCCGCTCATTACCATTCTTTGGATCTCACTCTTTTCACGCGCCCGCTCTAGAATACGCTCCTCTATAGAGCCCTGACAGATGAGGCGATATACCATCACCTGCTTGGTTTGGCCAAGCCGATGGGCCCGGTCCATAGCTTGTTGGTCCACTGTAGGGTTCCAATCCGAATCGTAGAATATCACAGTATCGGCGGCTGTCAGATTGATGCCGAGACCGCCTGCTCGAGTCGATAGAAGGAACACAAAAATATCGGCTCTTTCCTGGAAGTCCGCAACCATGTCACGGCGATCAGAGATACGAGAGCTACCATCAAGGCGGATATAGATGTAACGCCTATGCAGCATGAGCTCCTCAAGCAGATCGATCATACGGGTCATCTGTGAATAGATGAGCACACGATGCCCACCCTCCTTTAGTTGTCGAAGCAAGCCGTCAAGAGCGTGAAGTTTACCGCTCTGCGTTACCAGTCGCTCCTTGTTTGGAATTAAGATCTGCGACCAGCCCTGGGCCGGTCTTAGGCCCCGGACACCGAATTGAGTCCGGTCTTCGGCGGCTGTCATAAATGACGATGAACTACCAAGTTCCGGGCCCACTGCCGTTTTTCCGTGATGCCACCAGTTGAATGCTTCACGGCTGCCACAGACGGCAGCACGCTGCAGCCATCGAAAACCTTTGGGACTACTAGTGATCACTTCGGGAGGGGCAGCTACGCACGGTGACATTAAACAGCCAATCGTAAAATCTGGAGGTGGTATGATCGTTTCTGTCTGCTGAGCAGGCCTTTTTTTGTGAACTATATGTTCGACTTTAATCTTGACTCCATCGCCGTCATCGTCAAGATGTTCGTTAAGTTTTCTCACTCGGTGTTCATAGTGAGCAGGCGATTCTGCCATCGGAGTTATAGTGATGATCGACTCGAAACAGTTGCTCTCATCCTCAACTGAAAACAGTAGGTTACGTAGAGCGCTATATTTAACCGCCGGTCGGGGTGGAAGAATAACTGGCAGGGCGAACCACTCGATGGGTTCCTCCATTACGGCTTGATGGTACCGTCGTTCTCGACGAACGTTTTCCATCTTTGCGATCAACAAGCGATCTAGCACACTCCCCAAAGAACATTGCGTTACTTCCGTGGCCCCCAGTCCAGTTAAAGACAGATACTCAAACGAGTTGTTAAACGTATTGAAGTTAACAGGCGAGATATTTTCGACATAGCTCACGGGTTGGCTGCGTTCATATATCTTAGCAGGTATCCAAATATTTACAAAACGGCGACTGACAATTGGCTTTAGGAACAGTTCTTCATCGAAGTAGCTCTTTGGCAGAGAGACCGGATTTAGCTGCATGAAAAAGGGGCTGCGCACATCTTCACGCTCGAATAGGTCGGGGTGATTGCACACCTTTCGGAACTGCATCACGATATTCATTAGACAACTGGTCGCTGAACTTACGGCTTGCGCTGATCCAGCCATACCCACGCCTAGACCCGAACTCTGCATCAGGTCTTCAATACGGATCTTCTTTTTCAAGGCTGCACACATATCCTTCTGGCGTTGGCTCAACGGGCAGTCGATGCGAATCTCTATTTTATCCGAAAGCTCATTTTCTACGTCTTTTTTTATTCTGAAACCGAACGAAAAGATGTATAATACCAGTCACTATCAGCAAAACTATCCCACAATGAGGTTTTAGAGTGAGACATCGTTTACCCCATTCATTACGTAACAATCTTCGCGTCTTTTTTAAATGGAACATTTTATAATAGTACCTACCTTCTCAACATGAATGGCTTGAGAATCATGTGAAGGCGCGACAGATGTTTCTCGTCGATTGCGGTCTTGTTCTCTGCATGGCTCTCGATATCCTTTGAGAACCACTCGTTGAATTCCTGGTGCGAATCAAAAAGCGAAGGCATAATAAAGTGGAGCAGACCCCACAGTTCCTGCATAGCATTCTGTATTGGTGTTCCTGTCAGCAGTAATCGATTGCGACATGAGAAGCTCAGCAAGACTTTCCAGCGCTGACTTGCTGTACTTTTGATTGCCTGAGCTTCGTCAAGCACCATGTATTGCCAGTGTATTCTCTGAAAGAATTTCACGTCCTGAATGACGAGCTGATAGCTTGTGACCACAACGTGAAACTGGCTTTGCTCTGTGTGGAGATCCTGATTTCGAGCTGACCAGAATTTTCGAAGCACTTTTCTGTCTGCTGTATTGCCCCAGTATGGGACAACTTTTAGGCGCGGCACAAACTTGCTGAGTTCCTGTTGCCAATTGTGTAATGTCGAAGCTGGTGCGATCACTAGGAACGGCCCCCAAATGGCTTGGCGCTCCACAAGCGCGCAAAGAAACGCGATTGTTTGGACCGTTTTACCCAAGCCCATCTCGTCCGCCAAGATACCATTGATACCTCTGTCATAAAGCCCATATAACCAACTCATGCCCTTTATTTGGTATCCCTTTAATGTCCCTTGGAACATTGACGGCTGCGGAAGTTCCATCTGTTCGTCCCCTCCCTTTTCAATATCATTATGTGTATTCTCCTCCTTTGGTGCCCGTACGCCAAATTCGGCGTCGAAGTTCTCGGTCTCCTGTCTATGTGCCAAGAACGCGTTCCGCGCATTGTGGAGAGCCTCGCTTTTCAATCTGAAGTTTACGAGAAATAAAGGTCACGTTAAGGCGGATCATATCTGCTACACATTTCTAATATAATCTACTATTGCTTTCTTGCCAAGGGTTGCACAGTTAAACCAAACCATATATGTTAAGTAAATACTGCTAAAATTTCATCAGAAATGTCCTGTTAAAGTTCTAACCTGTCCTCGTCGAAATCAACATCGTTGGGATCCCGCACATGGTCAAGCTTGCCCAGTATATCTTGTGTGGACGCGTCTTGTTCATCCCCAGTCCGCTTTCGACTCATAAAGTGTGCGTATAGCTCGGTCTGCGTAATAAGGAAATTAAGTTTACGCTGCTGCCGTTTGGCTTCTCGCAACTCTGCGTCGACTTTTAATTGCTCTAATGCTTCTTTTTCTGCCCTTTTCCTTTGGTCTTTCTCAGCGCGATCATAGCGTTTCCACAATGCTTGCATTTCTCTACACAATCTGCAAATGAAACAGTGAAATAATTAAAACAGCTGCTAAATTAATAGTTTGAGATGCTCGATCTATAGATATGAATACTATTGTACATGTAAAGTGACAACTTTAATCTAAACAGAAATAGCAAAAAATGCGTCAAATAAAAGTATTTACGTACCGTAGCGGTATCACCTATTTTCGCTGATCAAAACACCACATTTTTCTTAATCCTACGACATTCATCTAAGAACACGACGCTTTTGTAAAACAACCACGTACAAATAGCTGCATTAATTAGAACTGATAATTACGATTACCTTTTCGACCGAGACGCATTTTCCCTGGCGATCTTCTGCGATGCGAGGGCCCGTTTCCGTACTTCGCGCATGCATCCGACAGCGAGCTTTTTAGCCAAATGTAGACTTTCCTTTCGTGATGCCTGGTTGTGCTTGAAAGCCCGGTGCGCGTCCTTTTTGCTCAAGTCCGACCAAAGTTTTCTACGTTTTGCCGCAGCTTCGGCAGCCAACTGCGCAGGCGTCTTTTCCTTTTTCTTGCGCCCTCTTTTGACGACTTCGACAGGAGGAGTCTGCTGTTCTGTTATCGGTGGTGGCGGTTGTTGATCGCTTTCCGAGTCCGAGTTGTCGCTGTTGTCCTCACCGCTGGAAGAGTCGTCACTACTACTGCTGCTGCTCTGCAGGCCCCACTGATGCGCCGAGTTCCCCCGACCGCGACTAACGTGGGCTCCAGCGAAGCGCTTCTTTAGCAAACGAGCCTTTTCGGCGGCGATCATCGCCTCGACCTCCTCGGGTCGGAAGTTTAACCGCAGCTCCTCTTTGTCATCGAAGTCCGCCTCAAGGCTGATAGGCTCGTTCCGAGTGAGAACACCCCATGATTTGTACTTGTATTTACTGTTCCTCAGGGCCCCCTCTTGATCCTGCGACCGTTTCTGTAGCTGTTCACATATTCGTTTCCGCTTCTTATGCAATTTCAGCCATTGTTTGAGGTCGGTTTCTGTCGGCTCATAATCGGAGTCAGTTGATGATGGCTCTTCGAGTAATTGCTGAAGAGCCATATATCGAAAAGAAAAATTCAGCAAAATTATTCACTCATATGGTTGCCTCAGTTATAATTATTCAAAAAGACACGATCGTACATCGTAGATTTTTTTGCCTTTGCCATAGTCATTCCTTACATTTTTTTCATTAATAAAGACGAAATGTTGAAATTCTCTTTTACATATAATAGCGTCTGTCTTGCCATATGATAGATATTTACCTTGTACAAGTTTCCATCAGGGCTTTGATAAATGCCCGCGTCAAGCCATCTCAGTTTTACTGCTTCTTCCTTTAGCTTTCTTCGCGCATCACCCGGATTAGCAGCGTACGAGTGAAGAAAATTCAATAGTCGTGGGGCGTGCCGTTCGAACGTCTCCTCTGGGGGAACCCGAGCCATAACCGGATAGTCATGATCATAGTCGGGCACCGAAGACGCGGCCAGGGACGAGGGAGATAGAAGATGCAGGCCCGCCCCGAGTGTTGGCGGTGACAGAGGGACAGGAAGCGTCCCTCGCGGGACGTTTCCTGCAATCGCTTGCGCATCGCCGCCTTGTGGCATTGGTGAGACGCCTGCAATCGTAGCTCCAAGCAACGGCACATGCTGGTGATTATATCCCATCGCCGAAGCGGGCTGGCGTCCCAGTAATGTCGTGGTGTCTAGCGCGTTCTGTTGATGTAACAAGTTCGCCGTAGCTGTATCATTAGCTATCACTGCTGACGGTGCCCCTGCAACTGTCTGCCCCTGACCGGGGCTTCGGCTACTAGGCGCTCCCGTTGTTCCGGTTGTTGCAGCTGATGTTGTAGATGCTGTTGATAACGTTGTTGTTGCATTCGTTGGCGTCGACCAGAGGTTCGTATGGGGCTGACACTGTGGAGGTGCTCCATGTGCCACAAGGGGGTGTGGATGATGAAACGGATGATGTTGATTTTGTTGTGGATGTAAATGAGGATGATGTAACTTATGACTAGGAGGATGATGTTCACCTCCCGCGTTAGAGGGCCCCCCTCGCCCACCCCGAGAAGGGTAGATCAGGGGCATCCTGAAAATAAATTAAAAGAAACGAAATTAAAAGTAAAGAAATTTAACAAAAGAGTACGGTAATGGTAAACAGAGCAGCACAATCGTGAGTTTTATTCTTAAACACCAATAACTTAAGAGTTTTGTGCCACTCTGCCGTCCTATAATTTCTCCAAATTGTAAGTTGATTTAATGTTTTAGTATGAATTAACCACTCCGTGACGTTCGGTCAGTCCAAGTATCCCTAGTGAATTTTAGAAAAATTCCTAGTGGGATTTCAGGCTATCAGGTGATTGTGACTTTTATTTTGCTCACTGCTCCAACTGCTGGAACTAGTCAATATGGTTTAAGAGGCTGAAGTGGATGGATTAGCGGTGAGCGTTCTCAGTTCTGGTAAAACCTTGGGTATGCTGTCATTGCTTGGAGCAACTTCATTTCTCACATAGTGCTTCTACTCTGAGGTGCTGCGTTTTATTAATTATAACATGGGCGACGCCTAGAAAGCCAATTTAGCCTTAAAAATTCACATAATTTTAATTATCTCTATTTTACAGATGAAACTGAGTGCACTAAGGACAGTGCTAAAAATTTTTTCAAGGTAGAGTAAAAGTAACATCTGCCGGCCCTAATGTTTGGATAGCGGACACCCTCGTATATTGCGTCAATGCATTGCATTGCAGACTTTCTTTTGAACCACAATAACCAATTTCCTTCTAACTACTGAGCAGTGCAAGGATTTCCTACGTGCAAAAATAATCAGCCTCCAGAAATTTTACAGAATAGTTTTATACATTCTAAAATATTTCCTCTACTCAGTAGTTTGAAACATATGTTAATTTCTCATTGAGATGAGCATATCTACTCTCATCAAGAGCGAATAATTAATACGGGACTTGAACAAACTAATGTAATGCAAATGGCAAAGTAAAGAAAATAGAATGAACACACTAAACATAGCTTGTGATTTATTTGATTTTTGATTTGAACTCCTGCAGCGGCGATGTCATGGTTTAGGCTTAAGACGGGTTCTTGGTCAATCACATAGACTGGTTGTAGAGTAAGAGATACTTCTCATGAAAGCCACATACAATCAGCGTAAGTATCGTTGCCTCCCCTGCAAGTAACTCAGTTGGTCAAATGAATTCCAACACTGATACAAGCAACATTCTCGTTGGCAACAAGAATGTTGTTGGAATAACATTAGGATATAATTGTTACAGCAGAGAAACAGAAGGAATCATAAAATGAGTTGTTCAGCATGATCATTTTATAACAAAAAAAAAACACAAAAGCACGGCAAAATATTGGCCACGTGTCTATCAGACTCTTTTTGACCAATTTCAAGAACAATATGTAGTCAAAATTAATGTTCCATTATACTACGATACATTAGTTGTAATGTCTTACAACAGTACGAGTTTGATGGCGATAATACATTTGCCAAATATATTTTGTAGCAATAAATCGTTCAGAATAAGTGGCCTTGTGCCTTATGTCGAATTGAATAGCAGATGGTTTCTACCACCAAATCACTTCGAAAGGTGCGCGATTCACAGTGGCAGCGCTAAAGCCAGCGTCACCTAGTGAGTTATCGCAAGAGCAGTGCGTATAGATTCCGTGTTGAAAGTTCTGGCCGATCTTTATTGCGTCGGGACAAAGGGTACAATTCAAAGGACAACTCAGCGAAATATCCGCATCATAACAAGAAGCTTTATTGGAGCACTGCTAATCGCAAGCTTCACATTTTCATATTTTTGAGGTAGAAGAAAGTTAACGAGCTATAACGATCGCCAAAAAACGATTTAGCGTGTAATCCGAATTCCCTACACAGAATTAGGTAGACTTTTCAGTGTCATTCCGAGCATTTATTATAGGTCGAATCAGATATCACCTACCACTATCTAACTATGGAAACAAATCACTCTGTGGACGAGTGAATTCGCTAGGAGTGAGTGGTAAGATTGGACAGTGTCGATCAGTGGTTGCTCTTTTAATCATCTGTGTTATCGGTCAATCAAAAATTTAATGGACTCCAGTGGACGAGGTTGCCAAGCTGAAACAAGCGGCAATGCGCTTGTTAGTCTATAAAGCCTTCTGACCGGTAAATGAAAACGATGTTCAGTCACCAGCTATAACAGTAACTATCCCGGAGAAAAATGTCAAACACAGAGACAAGTCGTTTTGTCTGGTTCTTTTTGGACTCATCTGGTGTGTACATGTCAGCACCCCTCTGTTTGTCTATGCTCGCTAAACTGGTTATTCGTTAAGTATTCTAAACGTAACATTACTAACACAACAAACGACATTCGAGCAAGCTAGCCTGGAGCGTGTGTTGTTACGCAAACGCACGAAAGTTTGTTACAACAAAGGCGCTGCGTCTATAGCCGCCCGTGCCTCCAGGCATACCACCTCAGCAACATCAATAACAGTATTATGGTCGTTGTAACGGCGATGATATTGGCGGCTGTTTTCCCTTGGCATGGCTGTTGCTTCTAGGCTATGGTTAGTGCTCCTGATAGAACCCACAGTAAATGACAAAGACCTAACTGTTTTAGCGGTGGTGGCTGTAGTCGCTATGGAATAATTAAATACTGCTTCTTTTGTTATATGCTGTTCATGGTCGCTTGCTATTAATTGTGTGACGTTGGTTCTGACACCCTGATGCTGTCGGCATTGCCTGGAAATTGTTCCTGTGGACAATTAGTCTGTAGAGAAGTATGTGCTTCTTTTGATACTTGTAAGTTTTGTTGGCTACATGCAAAAGATAAGTTACAAGACCACAGTGGAATATAATTTGGCTTAAATCATAGTTCATTAATATATCAAATGGCAGACAAAAGTCATTCAGGCTTTGCGAAAATACATACATGTTCTACACGTTTTTCCGCATTGTTGTGAAGTCTGACGCGAGGCTGCTAGCTTATCTACTGCACATATGACTGGAGTATTAGAAATGTCATGTGCCTATACCGTCTTCGAGTGATGAGCGGCGATCGGTTCAGTGTATCGGAAAATAACAGGTCCACAAGGATATAGGGAATAATCGCAAAACCAACCAGCCAAACTCATCACTATCGCCATCACTGTTACTGCTTCCGCGGCGAATGCCAGTGGCGCTCAATGATTACTCCTCAGGCTACTTGAACTGGCTGTGGTCCACTCTATGACGACAGGCAGTAACCACCATTGCTGCCGCTGCTGGTCGACAGTCGGGACCTTTCGCTTTGATAGTACTCAGGCATATACATGAAGCCATAATAAACTGTGGCCGGCACATTTACTTGTGTGGATCGAGTAGAATGAGCACTATTGTCCATAACCATCGGCAACGGCAGCTACACACTAGACTGTCGTTACCACAGCCCAGCTCAGCTTAAATCTGTCTTACTGTTTGCAAGCGTCGTTTCTTAGACATAAAACGACATATCTGCCGCTACAGCTCTTTGTTCTGGAGATGTCACACGCAACAGCGCCAGCAGCACTTAGAAAACACGCGCACATGAGACCATGGAAGTGTTGAGCACTGATAAAACAACGAGCCTTCAATAGTTATTGAGTAATATATTCATTTTACGATTTCTATGTTCATTTTTAACACAAATATTATTTCAAATCTTGTTTAAATATGATATGCTGCATGTTATTGTACTATTCGCGAAAAAACGTGGTAGCCTTGGAAACGTTTTATATTTTTTGTCAGACACCGAACATCTTTCACAAGCTGACTTCTATCAGCGCTCCAAATGCCCATAAGTGCAATACGTCAGTCACAAAGGCAAAACGGAATTGCTGGAGACACAACTGTGCTCCAAAAAGTTAACCAAGGGCCCAATCAACGGTGATATTTTTGCTTTCCGTTTGGTGAGAAGTCATTCAATGGCAGCAATCGCAGCCTTCATTAAATTGAGAATTTTTTCGTGCATTGCAACTTGTAGTAACTTTGATTTTGCCTTCAGTGATAGTAGTAATGGTTGTGATTATAATAACACCACTATATTATTAAAATCTTTCTCTTGTTCTATTCTAAAGGTTATCACATCCTTCTGCAACGCACTCAATCCTGCTAGATGAAGGCTCATAGAAATAGAACCAATCTACGTGAACCACGCAGCCTCAGTAAGCTAGCTCAGAGTGAAAGTCTCATGCAGTGTTGCTTTCTTCGCAGGACACATACGGAACTTGTTTTTATAGCGACAGCTTAAAAAACAAACATTGCAGCATTATCCGTAATCATTACGAATATCCTTCATTCAAAAGAGTCCCAAGAGCTTGGTACCTGTAGGCATCCTGAAAGCTGTGGGTACCGTATCAGTGGAACATTCCGCTTTAACGAGGAGGCTTATGGTAGTAGTGTTAATACTAGTGATACGTATTTACGTTGGGCACATATCCAGCTATTAGCACACAGCAGACAGGCCGGACAGACACCACAGACCACAAAAGACACTAACTAATCTTGAATTCACGCACTTAAGTATCTGATATAGGAAGGTAGAATTAACATACAGCAGAAGAATTAAGAATCTTAGGTCCATTCGATACTTCGATTTATCCACTGTGGAACCATGGGCACACGAATGATTCTAGTCGCTGTTGCAACTGCCCCCATAGTAACTAGTATGTCTCTCTATTTGTGAAGGCCTTGCCTTGTTAGTGTTGCTGTTGATGATGAGATGCTACCATCTCTTGTTACTATTCGTTCGGTAGTTTACTGATTTATTGGCGCAAGCGACAGAGCAATACAGTGCTACTACCCGACGTATCGGCGTCTGAAGTCTCTTTTCTTTTTGACCACAATCGCTACATAGATTTGATACGTATTCTATCGACCTATTGACAGCGTCGCCAAGATTTTACACAGATACAAGATACGCATAGAAGATACACATACGATTGACCAGGGTTCACATATACACAGTCGCAGACCCACACATGCACACGCACGCACACAGAATAATTATCCTCAGAGGGAGATAGAAACAGGGAGAGAATGTTGCCCTGATGCATCCTTGATCATACAACGCACACTCACACGAACTGAGATTGCAAATAAGGAATCGTGCACATGTATTGGTTCGTTTTTCCTTGCTTGCCGCTGGTTGAGCGACTTTCGCAGCAGTAGAAATACGTTCGCGTACCTCTGTTAGGGCGCTAGAGTTGCTCTTTGGGCGGCTGTCTAGCCCGGCGAGGCATTCCCGTACGACAGTTATAGGGCAGCTGTACACCGAGCACAGGACGAACTTAAACACTGTAGTAGATTGCTGATCCTGGCAGCAGTTAATTAGATCGTCGTCGCTGCCGCCGCCGTTGTGGGTCCTCCGACTGCCAGCCACATCTATGTGTTAACTTTATAGGTAGCACCTTCGATGTGCCTGGATCTGCTGTCGTGCTGCCGTGGCCTGGTCGTTGTTCATTGGCGAGTCGTTTCGCCCGTTCACGGCAGCGAGTGCGCTGCTAGCCCGACTCGGACCGCTGTTAGCAGTCGCTGTTGGCTGTGCTTTCGCCGATGCTGCCACAGCTTCGGCCGGTTGTCCGTCCATTACTCTCCCCTCACACAGCAGCAGCAGCTCGCTGGCTCTCAACAGCACACACCAAAACAACATCCCACCACCATAGCGACGCCATTGCTCGCTTGCTGCTATACTACAGCAATGGCACCACCAGTAGCCGTAGTCGCACTACTGCTACCGGCCCGCAGCAGCAGCAGCAGCAGCACAACAATCAACACCAGCGCAGCAGTAGCTGCTAAACGAGACTCAGCTTGCCGCCACCGCCGCCAGCCGCGTGCTTCGTCCGTCGTCGACTGGTTGCTCGGCTTGAGCTAAGCGATCGAGCCAACAGCTAGCGAGTTACTAAACAATCAAACGAATGAACGAATCACAGGCCCGCAGCAGCACTCAGCGAATTGATCGCTGCGACGGCACCCACTGCCAGCTCGCCAAAGAGAGCTCACGCCGCTGCCTCGACAGCAGACGATTTAAGCGAGACATGACCCTACTAGCCTGGCGGAGTCTTGCCAGCTAAAATTTCTATCCGCCTCTGTTGACTCCGACACAACAGCGGCTCCGCAGCAAAACTCCAGACACACACACACACACCCACCAACCACACAGGTCGCAGTAGGGATGCTGCATTACACACAGTACAAACAAGAAGTGCCAAGACACACACATACAGCCTTGCCTAACAACCAAGCTCGGACACATTCGAAACTGCAATGACCCATACAGCTCGAGTGTCGGCGCCGATCCACGACGAATTACCTATGGCGGCGGAGCTGCTGTCGATCCGGCTGGCTGCTCCGCTAAAACAGCGGCAGAGACGATGCTGGCAGTGGTTCTCATTAGTCGACTGTCGTCTGCTAACGATTGCCTTATGCTCCATGCCTGTCTTCCTGCCCGCTATCGCTGCTTAGCCAAGATTGCTAGACATTCTTGTTACGGTCGAGGATATAAGCAGCGGCGCGTGTTCTTAACTAGCAGACCCTTAGTGGGGACTAACCTGCGCTAAACAGCGGACAAAACCGTCCGTCAAATAACTCCAAATGGATCAATAAGCAAAACGACGGGACACACACATCTTGCGCGCGCGCCACTCCGCGCTGCGCAGCGGCGCCCGCGCGAACGATCGTGATCTGATAGACCACCGCTAGCAAAATAGAGCTAGAAATGGGTCTAATCTAACAAAAAAACCGTGCTATTAATGTAAGGCGCACTATTCAGGTATTCAAAAAGAAGTAACAAAAAATGCTAAGTTTGTATATAGACGTGTAGAAATAATGCACACCCTATGTAGTCGTCGGCAATAAAATTTGCTGGACTATAAATGGCAATAACTGACTAAAACAAAAATATCATATAAAGCACTCGGCATCCGTACGTTTTGCCATTCGAAATTAGCTTGTTGCCCAAAAAAGTTTTATTGATAACCTGTACGCTGAACGATAAGTAATTCCAACTTACTCCAAGCAAATAGTCTGATATTCTCTAAGGTTTCTGGAAATAAAAGTTCAATGATCCACGCGTGGGAGCTTTGCACAACATATCTTTGTAATGGCGAAATTGCGTTGAGCAGCATTAGAATCAGAAGCGTCGTTCTTCGTTTCGTCGTATGGGCACGGATGACATAAATAAAGACGATGAAGTGGTGTTTGGACAAGAGACGACTGCACGCAAAACGTTGTTATGTTTTAGCCGGTGTCGACCGTAAACTAGTGAGCTGTTCATTATTATTCACTGTTGGCAGAACTTACAAGTGCAGATCTGCTGCTTCAGAAAACCAGCAACACAGGACTCCATACGCTTGTACTAGCAAATGATATACATATGTACATCGTTTATATATATGGAAAACGTTAGGGTTTTCACATTTTCAAAAAAAACATCAACTGCGTAGTACGTGTCGTTTTAGCTGCAAAAAAGCTTTTGAAAGTACCTATCATCGTTGACATATTCGAGAACAAATTTATCCCAAAGCAGATAGTACTTAACAACTTTCCATAATTTTATAAATAGCCCAAACTATATACACCTGAACTTCCGAGATATATAAAAAATGTATATATTCAAAAATATAAGTCTATTAAATTAATTCGCCTTTGTCCAAAATGCAATGTTTACTAATGAAGAATCTAAAAGAAAAGAGTTAATATAAATAAACATTCACTTCTTATTGGTGCACGAGTTCTGTCAGAAACGTATGCACAAGATGCGCGGCCGTTTGTGCGGGATAATATATAATTGGATTGCTTCTTTTGTCGACATTTTGGTGATAAATGTTGCCGTATGATATTTCTTTAAAATACGAAAGCTTTCGGAGTGACAGCTCTCTTTTGTACTACAGTGCTCACGTGCTTGCCTTTTAAATATTTAAATATTAAATATAAAAGCGAGTGTGCTGGCTAGCCTTTTAAAGCAATCCTGTTTGACGGCAATACCAGATATGAAGTTCAAACATTTGGCTCACATCTATGTCTTAAAAACAATTGCGAGGCTCTTTTTCTACATTTGACGAACAAGTGATGCTTGTCATAGTTTTTGATCAAATATTAACAACAATTATATACTGCTTTTGATTAATAAATGAAAAACGAAAATGTTTGCGTCAGCTTTTTTACGGAAATCGATTTCTTAGCAGGGTCTCGAGGGGTGGTAGCTACAGTATGAACAAAGAGTGTATTTGGCTTTTCGCTAATTT